GCAAATCTACGACCAGGATAGATCAAACTGAAGGCTTGTGAATGATAGGAGCAGTCGGCACGTCATCGGAGACCGTCTGATTTCTGTCTATCGCCGATGTTAGCAAGTTGTACAGGAAAGGACTTAGTGAATTACACTTTTTGTAATAAGCAAGCAGTAGGCGGCAGGCAAAATAGGTATTAGTCTACCTACACCCTCTGACTAGCATCAGACTGGCGAGTTTGTGATCGTAAGATCCACGTAAGGCCAGCGTGAGACTTAAAAGAGACATTAGGTCCCCAGTGAACGGATAATTGAAAGTATAGTGAGTCAGGAATAATCAAATATCTAAATTAATATTTGTGATCATTAAAGTTAGGCAATATTTCAAAGCAATATTTCTAATTAAAAACTGATCACGTGAAATTGGAGTCAGATTGAACACGGAGCTAGACTAAAATTTAAACTAAATCCTTCGACCAGGCCGCTGGATTCTGCTTTTTGGGCTGGAGGGTGGATCCTTACACCAGTTATTTTAGCAAAAACAGCTCGTTATGATGCTTGATATTGCAAACAGGTATTTCTTATCATAGCATTTTAATGTATTGTCATAATTATAAACACACTGGTTGGTAGCGCAAATAGTTTTACCATTTACTGCACAGTTATTCTTCTAGTTATTTACCTATAGCGGATGAATCTGAAGTCTTGCACATGCATTTGTATTGACTGACTTGCATATATTTTTATATATATGTGTAGAATTTTTCACAGAAATGTTTGACTGCAGATCATTGTTCCAATAGAATACCTGCATCTCTGCGTTGAGTTTTGGCATGGATACTGCACGTCCTTGGCCTTCAAAGCCGCCAGAGGTCACTGTGTTGGCACTGTTCTCCATCTTCCTCATTTCTACTGATTCCTATTAAAAACACACAATAAGAGATTAAATACACATAAGTGGTGTCCAAACTCGGTCCTGGAGGGCCACTGTCTTAGTTTAGACAGTGGAGTTTAGCTCCAACTTTCCTCAACACACCTGCCTGAAAGTGTCTAGTATGCCTAGTAATACCTTGATTAGCTGGTTCAGGTGTGTTTAATTGGGGATGGAGCTAAACTCTGAAGGACATTGGCTCTCCAGGACCGAGTTTGGACACCCCTGCATTAAAGAAAGACACTGTTGCTGTGTCCAAAAGCTCTAAAATGCTGCCTTTGGAGGACGCATTCCAAGGTAGAATGGCATCAAGGCATGTCCGAATTCAAAGTTAGCTTCCCTTCCTGTATCATTCCAGATGATACCTTCATCTGATTGATTTTTAAAGGCAGCATACTGTAGATGTATACTTCGCTGCCTTTGATATCCACAATCCTGTGCGTTCCATTCCGTGATGGTTGAGCTAAAAAATAAAATTGGTGTCTGAAAGTTGAGTTTGGTGGTCAGTTTGTGTGTAAATGTATATTTCTGACTAACTTTTTGCACATTTGATGTTAGTTCTAGCGAGAAATCATTAAAGTAATTAAATATTTGTTTCGTTATCACCAAAACTCAATCTATTTTGTTGTAGATCATTAAACTGTTACGCTGCCTCAGAAGCCTGTCCGAAATCAGTTTCATGAGGTGCCTTCATGCAAAAACGCTGCCTGCAAAGTCATTGCTTGATAAAGTAGCAAGTCAGCTGCCTAGGCTTTCGGACGCAGCCTGTGTGTGTCAGAGAGAGTCTGCATTTTTATTTACAGCACCTGGACAGTGTTCGCATTTGAGGCATCCTCTGATTGACCTCTGGACATTGGCCGCCGTTTAGACCGCTGCACCTCCTTGGACTTCTCTGAGGCCCAGGATGAAGATCCTTTTATTGTGTTGTCAAGACTGGGCATGAAATTTAACAAAACGTATTAGAGTAGATACACTTGTCATGGCAAAGAGATTCATTCAAGTGTGTACTGAATATGAATGCAGCAGGGATTTTGTGCTCACTGTGTGCGTCCGTTGTTGAGCATGGTGGAGCTGGGTCTGGTCTGAGCTTGAAACTCTGAGGCTGAATCTACACTGTTCATGGCCTGATCTTGCATGTGGGTTAGTGGGAGAATAGGCTCTAAAAGAGCACTGACTTTATTCTTCAAACAGAAAGAATCAAAACACATATTCACTACCAGTTGGTAGATTAATCTGATTTTTTATGATCCTTCATAAAATGATGTGAAGGCTTTCATTTGAAATTAGTATAGGCAAATTTATCATATTTTATGTTATTACATTATTTATTACATACATTTTTCTTTAAAAAACCTCTGCATAAATAGTTTAGACAAGATTTAATGGTTTGCTATTTTCACAAAATAATTTTCATTGTACATCTATTTGTTATTGTGCAAAAATGTGCAAAATAGCACAACAATTTGACTAGTAGTGTAAGTATATACTGTATATGTATCACCTGAGATCCAAGTCCTGCCTGTTCTCTCTGCTGCTGTTGCTGCATTTGAAGTCTTTTGGCTCTGTTTTGCTTGTAATAGTCAAAAATCATAAGAGCCGCATATACCTTCCCCACTGTAAGCTCATTGGCTGCAAAGAGACAAATGCACCTTAGTTATGTGTTGTTTGGAAGTTCCACTGGTGACCACTAGATGTCGCTGTGTATTGTGTTTGGAGATGTTTGCACATGTGAAAATACTTAGAGTTCCCTTAAGATCAGAGGTGTCAAACTCAGTTCCTGTAGGGCCACAGCTCTGCAGAGTTTAGTTCCAAACCTGCTCCAACACACATACCATGTAGTTTTCAAATAAGCCTGAAGGACTTGATTAGTTGGATCAGGTGTGTTTAATTAGGGTTGAATCTAAACTCTGCAGGGCTGTGGCCCTCCAGGAACTGAGTTTGACACCCCTGGTTTAAATCATTTGTAAGTGTGTGTCTGTACCTCAGTGTTAGTTTTGTAATATGTGGATGCAAGTATTTGAGAGTATTGATGTGGCAAATTAAAGGATCTCCTGGGTGATGATTCATAATGCGTTTACGTTTGTGTGGAGTGACCAGCAGGTCCATAGTCTTCTGAGACAGGTTTGGCCAGACTGTAGTGAGCTCCTTCTTCAGTTCAGCGTCTGACAGACGTTGGGCCACCATGCCTGTGGAGAGATCATGAACAGAGAGGAAAGAGGCTAATTCGACTATATCTTATATATACACAGTTCAATTCAGTCGAATTATTTTGTTGTTTCATAAATATTTTAAAAATGTCAACACTTCTCTTTTTATCTGTGTTATTATAATGTGAATTAAGATCAATGCATTGAAAGACAAAACACAGTTGGAGTAAAGGAATTTAGCGAAGCAGAAAAACTATTTTAATCCCCTGTAATAAAAATAAAAATAAATTAATAATAATAATAATAAATTAATTAAGTTCAGTGAATTTAGATCAATACATCGCAAGGCAAAACTGTGAAAATGAAGCTAGAAAAACCCACCCAGTGCCAAACACTCAGAGAGATACAACAGATGCTAACGGAACAGATCACACTGAATAAGTGATTAATCTCTCCATTAGGCACTAATCACATTTGAAGTTATTTGGAAAAGAGAAAGATGGATTCTAGATGCTAATCTATACAATAATTAAGCAATCATTTAGACAATAAAAAAGGCACCAGACTGACCTGATGCCAGTTTGCTGATAATAAATTGTTATATTTGATTTATTCTGAACTCTCCTAAAATCATTATGACTAGTAAACTGTGAGGAGGCTTTTGTTACCGCAAATCTACGGCCAGGATAGATCAAACTGAAGGCTTGTGAATGATAGGAGCAGTAGGCACGTCATCGGAGACCTTCTGATTTCTGTCTATCGCCGATGTTAGCAAGTTGTACGGGAAAGTACTAAGTGAATTACACTTTTTGTCATAAGCAAGCAGTAGGCGGCAGGCAAAATAGGTATTAGTCTACCTACACCCTCTGACTAGCATCAGACTGGCGAGTTTGTGACCGTAAGATCCACGTAAGGCCAGCGTGAGACTTGAAAGAGACATTAGGTCCCCAGTGAACGGATAATTGAAAGTATAGTGAGTCAGGAATAATCAAATATCTAAATTAATATTTGTGATCATTAAAGTTAGGCAATATTTCAAAGCAATATTTCTAATTAAAAACTGATCACGTGAAATTGGAGTCAGATTGAACACGGAGCTAGACTAAAATTTAAACTAAATCCTTCGACCAGGCCGCTGGATTCTGCTTTTTGGGCTGGAGGGTGGATCCTTACACCAGTTATTTTAGCAAAAACAGCTTGTTATGATGCTTGATATTGCAAACAGGTATTTCTTATCATAGCATTTTAATGTATTGTCATAATTATAAACACACTGGTTGGTAGCGCAAATAGTTTTACCATTTACTGCACAGTTATTCTTCTAGTTATTTACCTATAGCGGATGAATCTGAAGTCTTGCACATGCATTTGTATTGACTGACTTGCATATATTTTTATATATATGTGTAGAATTTTTCACAGAAATGCAGATCATCAGATCATTGTTCCAATAGAATACCTGCATCTCTGCGTTGAGTTTTGGCATGGATACTGCACGTCCTTGGGCCGCAAAGCCGCCAGAGGTCACTGTGTTGGCACTGTTCTCCATCTTCCTCATTTCTACTGATTCCTATTAAAAACACACAATAAGAGATTAAATACACATAAGTGGTGTCCAAACTCGGTCCTGGAGGGCCACTGTCTTAGTTTAGACAGTGGAGTTTAGCTCCAACTTTCCTCAACACACCTGCCTGAAAGTGTCTAGTATGCCTAGTAATACCTTGATTAGCTGGTTCAGGTGTGTTTAATTGGGGATGGAGCTAAACTCTGAAGGACATTGGCTCTCCAGGACCGAGTTTGGACACCCCTGCATTAAAGAAAGACACTGTTGCTGTGTCCAAAAGCTCTAAAATGCTGCCTTTGGAGGACGCATTCCAAGGTAGAATGGCATCAAGGCATGTCCGAATTCAAAGTTAGCTTCCCTTCCTGTATCATTCCAGATGATACCTTCATCTGATTGATTTTTAAAGGCAGCATACTGTAGATGTATACTTCGTTGCCTTTGATATCCACAATCCTGTGCGTTCCATTCCGTGATGGTTGAGCTAAAAAATAAAATTGGTGTCTGAAAGTTGAGTTTGGTGGTCAGTTTGTGTGTAAATGTATATTTCTGACTAACTTTTTGCACATTTGATGTTAGTTCTAGCGAGAAATCATTAAAGTAATTAAATATTTGTTTCGTTATCACCAAAACTCAATCTATTTTGTTGTAGATCATTAAACTGTTACGCTGCCTCAGAAGCCTGTCCGAAATCAGTTTCATGAGGTGCCTTCATGCAAAAACGCTGCCTGCAAAGTCATTGCTTGATAAAGTAGCAAGTCAGCTGCCTAGGCTTTCGGACGCAGCCTGTGTGTGTCAGAGAGAGTCTGCATTTTTATTTACAGCACCTGGACAGTGTTCGCATTTGAGGCATCCTCTGATTGACCTCTGGACATTGGCCGCCGTTTAGACCGCTGCACCTCCTTGGACTTCTCTGAGGCCCAGGATGAAGATCCTTTTATTGTGTTGTCAAGACTGGGCATGAAATTTAACAAAACGTATTAGAGTAGATACACTTGTCATGGCAAAGAGATTCATTCAAGTGTGTACTGAATATGAATGCAGCAGGGATTTTGTGCTCACTGTGTGCGTCCGTTGTTGAGCATGGTGGAGCTGGGTCTGGTCTGAGCTTGAAACTCTGAGGCTGAATCTACACTGTTCATGGCCTGATCTTGCATGTGGGTTAGTGGGAGAATAGGCTCTAAAAGAGCACTGACTTTATTCTTCAAACAGAAAGAATCAAAACACATATTCACTACCAGTTGGTAGATTAATCTGATTTTTTATGATCCTTCATAAAATGATGTGAAGGCTTTCATTTGAAATTAGTATAGGCAAATTTATCATATTTTATGTTATTACATTATTTATTACATACATTTTTCTTTAAAAAACCTCTGCATAAATAGTTTAGACAAGATTTAATGGTTTGCTATTTTCACAAAATAATTTTCATTGTACATCTATTTGTTATTGTGCAAAAATGTGCAAAATAGCACAACAATTTGACTAGTAGTGTAAGTATATACTGTATATGTATCACCTGAGATCCAAGTCCTGCCTGTTCTCTCTGCTGCTGTTGCTGCATTTGAAGTCTTTTGGCTCTGTTTTGCTTGTAATAGTCAAAAATCATAAGAGCCGCATATACCTTCCCCACTGTAAGCTCATTGGCTGCAAAGAGACAAATGCACCTTAGTTATGTGTTGTTTGGAAGTTCCACTGGTGACCACTAGATGTCGCTGTGTATTGTGTTTGGAGATGTTTGCACATGTGAAAATACTTAGAGTTCCCTTAAGATCAGAGGTGTCAAACTCAGTTCCTGTAGGGCCACAGCTCTGCAGAGTTTAGTTCCAAACCTGCTCCAACACACATACCATGTAGTTTTCAAATAAGCCTGAAGGACTTGATTAGTTGGATCAGGTGTGTTTAATTAGGGTTGAATCTAAACTCTGCAGGGCTGTGGCCCTCCAGGAACTGAGTTTGACACCCCTGGTTTAAATCATTTGTAAGTGTGTGTCTGTACCTCAGTGTTAGTTTTGTAATATGTGGATGCAAGTATTTGAGAGTATTGATGTGGCAAATTAAAGGATCTCCTGGGTGATGATTCATAATGCGTTTACGTTTGTGTGGAGTGACCAGCAGGTCCATAGTCTTCTGAGACAGGTTTGGCCAGACTGTAGTGAGCTCCTTCTTCAGTTCAGCGTCTGACAGACGTTGGGCCACCATGCCTGTGGAGAGATCATGAACAGAGAGGAAAGAGGCTAATTCGACTATATCTTATATATACACAGTTCAATTCAGTCGAATTATTTTGTTGTTTCATAAATATTTTAAAAATGTCAACACTTCTCTTTTTATCTGTGTTATTATAATGTGAATTAAGATCAATGCATTGAAAGACAAAACACAGTTGGAGTAAAGGAATTTAGCGAAGCAGAAAAACTATTTTAATCCCCTGTAATAAAAATAAAAATAAATTAATAATAATAATAATAAATTAATTAAGTTCAGTGAATTTAGATCAATACATCGCAAGGCAAAACTGTGAAAATGAAGCTAGAAAAACCCACCCAGTGCCAAACACTCAGAGAGATACAACAGATGCTAACGGAACAGATCACACTGAATAAGTGATTAATCTCTCCATTAGGCACTAATCACATTTGAAGTTATTTGGAAAAGAGAAAGATGGATTCTAGATGCTAATCTATACAATAATTAAGCAATCATTTAGACAATAAAAAAGGCACCAGACTGACCTGATGCCAGTTTGATCTCTAGGGCAGTGCGGATCAGAGCCATCAAAGTAGAGGTGAAGTGCACACTGTTGTCATCTGCAATGGGCATGTTCATTTTCACCAGCCGCTAGGGGAAGCCATGAGGTTCATTAGTGGGGTAAAAACACTTCTCAAAATCAGCATCAATCAGAACAACCCAAAAATTCACAAACAAAACAGTTTGTGTGCTCCTGAGATTAGACATGATTATTTCATATCCTTCTATTTATTCAATTCATGCATTCTAGCAATCATGCAATATATATTTTGGATCAGTTTGGTCATTCAGTAATGTAGAATCCTGTTCTAATCTTATCATTTCAAGCACACAAACAGTTTTGTTCACATACAGAATAGAAACATACAGAATCGAACATTCACATTCACTGCTATAGGCTACAATCCGCAACCAAAGTGCACTGGTGATAAACCAACACCGACTTGAGAGTGGAGAAAAGCGTGTACACACAATTATGAGAGGCTTCAGAGGACATGGGAGCTCGACTCTGGGAATTACTGATCAATAAACGTGCAGCAGATAGCTGCTTTTAGATTTAAGAGTTTCAAATGGTGACCATTTGTGGCTTTTTAGAGCTGAAACAATGCTAAACACACCAGCTACTTTCAACAGCTTTGTAAAAATACTTAAAATCATGTTTAGAAGGTCAATTGTGTAATTGAGTCATTTGAGTCTCAAAAATTACACACTTCACCTTTAAAGGTGCACAAATTTTTTTGGGAGTTACTGTACACTGACACCCAGTGGTGTGGATGTAGCATAAAAAAATCTGTCACAATGCATTCGTAGAAATGCTCTATTAGCAGTCAGTCATGATTATTTTATTCTGTGAAAAGCAGTCTCCAATAATAGGAGAGTTACAGTATAAGTATTATTTGGCTAGTCATGTGATCTCAAAATGGCCGCCCTCAGAAGGCAACCCACTCTATGTAAAATAAAAAAAAATTTATTAGAGTGACTGCACATGATTTTACATATTTTTTCTATTAATTTCTGTATGTTAAAAGTTAAAACTTTCTAAGAGGGAAATAACCGAGCGCACCTTTAAACATGACAACTCGACTGTATCATGGGATGTACGGGCGTACAGTATGGTTTAGTGTGATTCATTCTGAAGAGTTGAGCTCCCCTGAGCAAAGAGACCATACATCTACTAGCAGTAGCAGTGCAAGAGAAACAGATCAGAATGAACAAAGACAAAAAAACAGATTGACATTCTCACATACTGCAGACATAGAGAACGAGAGAGAAGGCTACAGGACAAAGAAAAGAGAGAGGAAATGGTCGAGTGGATGAGAGATAGACAGCACAAGCAAGACAAGGAGAATAAGTGAAAGTCCGCCAAGATAGGAAGAGAGAGGTCAAGTGCAAAGTTCTCATGACTGAAAACAACTTAGGTTACACACACTGCTCCATGAAACAAGGGTGAGGGGGGACCGTTCCTATTCTAACATAACATAAAGGCTCTAAAAGAGGTTTTTGAGCTAAATTTGGGGCCCTTAAGTGAATCCCAATGGAAGAAATTGGAAACCCGCAAAAAGAGCAATTGGGCATATTTTTATGTAAACTGAGATTACATAAATTATTTTGCATTTTCAGTGCATATGATTGGTACAGAAAATTACTTTTACAATGTTGTGCACAAACCCTTACACAATGCAACTTATGGGGAACATTTTATACACATGAAGTATGACCAAAGATAAAAATTTAGATTTAAGTCTCACTTATTATCATCATAATTAAACATAGGCTCAATGAAAATACATGCTTCTACCTACATTTTTGAAAAACTCCCAAAAATGTACCTAATGAATATACAAACAATCCACTAGAGGCAGTAAAACAACTTTTATGGGGCAGGTTATCGATCAATAAAGACTTATTTTTGTGCAGTTCCTTGCATAGTACCCTGTCATGAACTCAAAAATCTTTTATCATAATGCATGATTTGTAGACTAATACATTTTGACGTTTACATAACATATCCAGCTCCATGTGCATGGCTTTTTGATGTAGTAAACTTGCTCACTAGCTCACCTGGTACAGTGTTGCATTTTCGATATGGAGCGCTCGGGTACAAGTCCCGTGAAATATGAGTCATAAGAAATGAGCTCATAGACTTGCAGAAGCAAGCTAAAATGGCATACTTGCTTATTTAACATTATTGGTCAGGTTTAGGGTAGGGTATTGCTTAGGTGGTACGTTGTTTTCAAATGTGATTTTAGCAACACTCATCAGACATTTTATTTTCTAACTGCTGCAATATGTACAACAAGCAATGTAATAAAGCACTGTCAGATTCATATTCATTTGTTTCGCATAAAACTGAATGTGCTTTTATTTTCACTCACTGGACATTTCACTTTGATAGTGTAACAAAACGTGCAAGAAGAAACGTAACATTGTTTTGCTGAAATGTCGAAATAGGCATGTATTTCCAATGAGTCTGGTTTGTAGTTAAACATTAAATACACTAAAGTTCTGCAGTCATACTCATCATTAGTCTGTGACCATCCCTAGATTACAAAAGAAGTGGAGGGGAAGACTCGAATAAAAAGGGAGAGGGGGAGGGACTACACCAAAAAGATCAGAGCGTGGGGAGAAAAAAAAACAGTTAAAAAAAACATGAGGGGAAACACTGCAAGAGCACAGAGATTGGCTGAAGAATAAGCCAATGGGAAGACAGTACGAGCAGAGAGAGGGGGGGCATGTGAAGTTGAGCTACCTTGTAGGCGATTCGTGGAGGGCATTTCTTTCCCAAACCTAAAGGTGGGGACATGTGGAGCAGCATCTCATACATATCGAGGTACTTGATACGGCCACTTCATAGTGCAGACAACGCAAATAACCCAAAATAAAGAAAAGGATGGGGGGTTAGAGAGACGGGAAGAGAAACAAGGGGGGCAGAAAGTAATCAGATCAAGACGAAATGAAAAAAAAAGACAAAAACAAACAACAGACGACAAAAAACAGAAATCTTTTGTTAATTAGATTTCCAAGAGTGTCATGAACAGGGATGCCATCCTGGCCTGGCAGGGTCAGAGATGGATCCCAAAGGTTAGAGGTCAGAGGTGAGAGAGTTGATCCCTGATAAGGAGAGATGGAAGAGGTGAGTGAGATGACACGAGGAGTGGATGGTGACAGAATGGCTGCATTGTTTGGAAGATGTCTGCATCTGCATGCTGAGACATCGGGGGAGTTTTCTCTTTCAGTGCACGGAAACAAAGGTTTCAATGCCAGTTTCTGTTCGGTTCTATTTCATTTGAACAGTTTATGCAAATTACAGCTATGATGTTGAGCTATAAATGTAAAAAAAAACTATTTTGCTTGATATTTTAACATTAGTTTAGTGCCAAAACCCTGAATTGTGAATATGAAAACTGTATGTAAGAGTCATAAAAGGAGGGTTTAGATTGTTATGTGGCCTTGAAAGCTTTGTTTGCCATTCAGCATCATTAACCAAAGCCAGTCAAATCTGGTGGGGCAAGTGCTTGTGTGTAGACAAGTCATTTGAGCACAGCCATTCAAGTTTGGGTCTCTGGGCGTTTGTACACAGAGGCCACACAAGTGGAAGAAGTTGCTTGGGTTGCAAACCTTGTATGCTACCCTATTAGGGCAGTTCTTCCCTAAGCCAAGGGGGGGCGAGATAATTCTCAACAAATTGTACATATCCTTATAGGAAATCCGTCCGCTGCGGAAAGAACAAGCAAAACATGACATACATGAAGAAAGCTTGGAGAGCACATTTGTGTTGTGGACAGAATGGACGCGGATAGGAGTACAAGATCCCACTCACATCCAAACCATGATTCTTTGTATTCATGTGGGCATTCTTTGGGCATTGTGTGGGAGATCTTCAGTCACACATTATCACAGGGAATATTCTGCATTTCTCTCTTTTATTTATGTGGTCTAACCTGAGAAGGCCTTTGAGCCCTAACAGAATGACTCTCCTTCTCTCAACTGTTGCCAAACTCAGTTACTATATTTATCATAAGAGTAGGTCTCCATCTGGTGAGGGAGTGTAGACTGAAACATACCATGCGGCTGGGTCATACTCTGCCCACACTCGGATAAACTCATCCAGGTGGTGAGGGCCCAAGATGGAGGAATCACGTGTCAGATATTCAAAGTTGTCCATAATGACAGCCACAAACAGGTTCAACATCTGGAGAAAGTGGTGGGAGAAAAGTATCTGAAGATCATGGAGCAGGAAAAACACTCTGAGAGTATGACACTAATTGCAAATTAGGGTTGGGTAAAAATTAGTGCTGACAACGATTAATCGCGATTAATCGCATTCAAATTAAAAGTTTTGGTTTACAAAATATATGTGTGTGTACTGTGAATATTTATTATGTATATATAAATACACACACATGCATGTATATATTTAAGAAAAAATATGTTATGTTTATATATTAAATATATTTAGAAATAATACAAATTATATGAATATACATACAGTATATGCATGTAAATACATGTAAATATTTTCAAACACACACATTTATTAAGTAAACAAAAACTTTTATTTTGGATGCGATTAATCGCGATTAATCATTTGACAGCACTAGTAAAAATATAGATTTCTGATTAATCAGAGTCCGAAAAACAGTGAATGGCTTCTGCATCTTCAATGCAATGGCAAAACAAATAATTACAATCAATAAAATATTTTACCTCAGCCGTACATGTGAGTTTGCAGTCTGTATTAAATGTGAAGACTATGTACCACAAAAAAATGTCTTTCTATTGAGTTGTTTGGGTGGGCTGCATGCAAAAATATCATACAACATGACCAATGCAGTCCAATTCACAATCAAATTACTCTCATAAACTGATTCTTTCTGGTGAATTAAAACCATTACTGAACCAAATTATCTTATGAGCTAGTTCTTTTAATTCATATTTTAAAAATGAATTTTTAGACTCCACACAATTTCTTTTCAAACTTCTTATGACTTTGTGCTTCTGGTCTTCAGCATTCCCATGCATATGAACGGACATCTTTGGAGGAAAAGTGTAGTGTGATGAAACACTGCCCTGTATAATTTACAGCATTAGAAGAGACAATTTTTAAATTTTTGCACATAAACAGATATACTGTAGTGGCATTTTATTGCGCATTGCACTTGTGTTTCATATTTTGTGTTTCAGCCTTGTTGCCTGTTTAAAACTTTTACAGCACTTTGGCCAACAGCTGTTATTTTTAAATGTGCTTCAAAAATAAATGTGACTGACTGACTAACTGAAAAATGCTCAGTGAATTTCAACTAAATTAAAGTATATTGAATCAGAATCAAATTAATGCTTGGAAATCAGAATCAAATCGAATCAGGAAATCTGCATCAATACCCAGCCCTATTCCAAACACAATGGAATATTTCAGCGTCACATTCAGACAGGTTTTTAGATTTAAGATAAACAAGCAGTTTTGTGGCAGTAGGATGTAATGGCATGCTACAGCAATGGTTTTCAATCCTGGTCCTGGGGACCCACCGATCTGCACATTTTGTATGTCTCTCTTATCTGACACACTCAGTTCAGTTCATGGAGCCAAAGCCACTAGAAGGCAAGCCTGCAACCTTTAGCCAAAAAAAGCGTAACGGCTAATGCGAACGCTTCCGCTTTGGCAGTATACGCAGGAAAGGAGACCAGAGGCCATTTTTTTTAATGGATGTCAATGGAGGAGAGGCTTCACAATGCTGAATAAACAGCTTTTCAGAGAAAACTGCTTATAATTTAATGAATCGACAGCCGATCTCCAACACATTTTACACTTAGCAATACTTTTGGATTTAACTATTTTTAGAGTTTACACAGAAAAAAAATGCCATTGCCAATGATAAGCCTGTTTTGGCTGGTACGACTCAGAGCACTAACCAGGAAAGAACAGAGGAAAATAAAGGAGACAAAGTAGAAGTAGGCAAAGTCACTCCCGCACTCCTTTCCATGAATGCCTGAGCTTGCATCACACGTGCGCTCACTCAGACAGGACAGCATAATCTCATGCCAGGCTTCACCAGTAGCACTCCTGCAAGAGACATGATGATGAGCTGATTAAATAAATGCGGCATCTGCTATTAAAAGCAGGAATGACTGTCAGAGAATATAACAGAGACTGGAGATCATGGGAAAAGTGCTGATATTTAAATTACTGTTGAGCCAGATTTCAGTTATAACACTGTTGTCACACTGACATGCTGCCTGCTCATGGCTCTCAGCTCAAAGGAAGCTTCGAGGTAATGAACATAAGGGAAAGATGGAAATTTATTTAGGAATTTCATTAGGAGATGTTGTTTTTCTAGCAATATGGCTGATACTCCAGATGGTACTTTAAAATTCAATCTGACTAAAAGGGGAGACCACAGAGAGAAGGAGCACAAAAGAGCGATGCAAACAGAGTGATACCAAGTACTACAAATAATGGAAATGACTATTAGACAGACAGATAGATAATCTTACAGTGCGCAGCTGAAATCTTTAGCAGCTCTACAGTTTGAGATCAGACTAGGTTAGCTGTAATTAGGTAGTTAGGAAAGTTTTCTCTTTGTCTTTGTGCTTTGTTCTCAAGCTGATTGTGCATAGATAAGATCCCTGAAGTTGCAAAGACTAAAGTCTCAAAACCAAAGAGATATTCTTTATCAAAGTTAAGACTCTGCTACGCCCCCCTAAAATGGCTCGTTCTAACACGCCCCCACATATCTACCTCACTATGTGGAAATATTTGCATAATGCCGCCCAAATGTGCACGCAAAGAAAGAAGGCGTGGTTTCAGTAACCGCAGTTAGTGTTGAAGCAGCATGTCAGGGAGACGCTGTGTGTTTCTAGGCGAAAGCAAAAGCACTTTATTTGACCTTCCGAAAGTAGATGCATTTAGAAATCTTTAAGATTACATCGAGTGTGTGTGTGTGTGTGTGTGTGTGTGCGAGCGAGCGAGAGAGAGAGAGAGAGAGAGAGAGAGAGAGAGAGAGAGCGTGAGAGAGTGAGAGAGAGAAAGAGAGAGAGAAAGAGAGAGGGGGGGTGGGGATCACATCACAGCGGAGTCAGCTGTCTTAACCGTGGCTTGTGTACTGCACACATACCAGCTTCATCACTGTGTCTGTCACGCGACTCTGTTCCCCTTTCAGGCTCTGTCTTTACATTTATTTTGAAAGATGAAGCTCGCGATTATGGTAAGGGGCGTTACATTTCCGACGAGTGCTTGCGGTGTTCGGCCAATCAAAATGCACTGGGTCAGCTGGCCAATCAGAGCAGACTGCGGTTGTCGGAAGGAGGGACTTTGTAGAAAACTAAGCGTTTGAGAGAGGCGGGGCATAGAGGACCTACAATAATGTACAGTATTTGAAAAATAATGTGTTTTCTGAACATTAAAGCATGTCAACATATTCTGTTACACCAAATGCACAAAATAATGTTCTTTAAAAAAAGCATCATATGACCCCTTTAATACTTTATACAGTAATATTTTCTGACTATGAAAGATCTTGATCAATTATAAATACAGTTCTCCATAAAATCCTAATTGCATTAGATAAATGTGCGCTATTAAAGTTGATATTAATCACAGTCTAAATATAGTGATCTGGCTAAATATAGCGTTTAGGGGCCATATTACAGAAACATTCTAACTGTAGAATCCTCTCTAATCTCCATCATAATTTGTCAGACCTTTAGACTTTAGATTCCATTTTACAACCCCAGAAGCTTCATTAAGATTTCCTGCATTCTCAAGTGGCTTCGATTGTAGTAGATAAAGGCCCGGTTTCACAGACTGGGCTTAGACTAAGCCAGGATTAGGCCATAGTTCAATTAGGACATTTAAGTAATTTTTTATAAATGTGCTTAAAAAAACATTACTGGTGTGCTTTTTGAGACAAAACAAAGGCACTGATATATTTTAAGATCAGTCAGTGCAAGTTTCTTTCAGTTGAAACAGCTCAGACTTACATTTTAGTCTAGGACTAGGCTTTAGCCTTGTCTGTGAAACCGGGGAAAGAATATCAGGTGTGTGCAGACCTGAACAACAGCATAAGCGCTTGGAGGAAAGTGCGAAAGTTGTTGTGGCGATTTATGGCGGTATCATCACTCAACTCAATGTTCCCAAACACCTGTAATCACAACGTTACTTTAAATGCATGTATTTTGAAACAGTTACATTAAACAACCTTCAGACAGAATACCATTTCTATATTTTAATTCACCTATAATAAAATACACAGGAGTATTGTAATGATCTTTTACTGGAAAATACCATCACTGAAGCACATAAATTCTATATACCTGCATTCCAATGATGGCGTAGATGAAAAACAGCATGGCAATTAGGAGGCAAACATAAGGCAGTGCCTGGAAATAAACATGAAGAAATCGTAACTTCTTTAAAAAAAACAAAAAAAACCAACAATGATTAACAAATCAGTCTAAATAGAGTTACCTTAAAAGATTGGACGAATGTCCAGAGCAGGATGCGAATGGTGTATCCCTGCCGGAGGAGTTTGACGAGTCTGGCTGCTCTGAAGAGCCTCAGGAAACTCAAGTTCAGCAGACGTTCCTGTGGGAACACAGGCTGTGTCAATTTAAAAGTTCCTTTCTCCTCATTTAATCCTTCAGCACTCTTTACTTCAACCCTCATATCTCTTTATAACATCAAGTTTGTATTTTCAGATCCTAAAAAACAAGTATGACAGTATTTTATAAGACCTTAATCTCTATGAGACCACTTCTCGAATCCTGTCACACTGACCCTGAAATATTAGTCTGCATTTATCTGTAGTTTTTTTATTATGAGGTTAAGTTGATTTTTTTATTGTTCAAATGTCAATAATGTAATTTCTTTAGGCACTGTTTCCCAATCTGGGATTTGCGAACTCCTGGGGGTTCACGAGCAAACTGCATCGAGTTGATGAAAAACGAATAATTAAATAATAAAAATCACGAAATTAAAATAAATAAATTAAAATTAAAACAATCAAAATAAAACCTTTACATTGTATTTTTTTACCTGAATGCAATGTGACATTTAATCTACATCAGAGAAACATGAATATACAAATGTGTTGTTAATTTATTGAAATATTAACTTAAAATCTCAGGAAGTACTTAAAGTAAATATTTTAGGTCAAAGAGATTTGGCTAACAAAAAACATTTGAGAATCCCTGCATTAAGACATCCAGACTTTCCCAGAAATTTCTACTCTGGATTCAGTGTGAAAAATTATTGTCAAGTAGGATGTACTCTTGGATAAGTATCTTTTGTTGGTCCTGGAACAACAATTCTGCCAATCCAGACAAAAATATGATTGGTTGATTGGTTGGACCAACAAGGATGTCAATCCATGATAAGCATTAGTGAAGCCTAATGACTTCAAACCAGACCTATTTACCACATAGTCATATGGGGTGATTGTAAAAATGATGTTGCATTATCTTCAGTAAAGAAGAACCTTATGATGTGCTACAATAGGAAGTTCTTTCATTCCCAGCAGGGTGGAATAGACATAAGTTCACAGACAAGAGAGCAACTCACCGTAGTCTGACATGAAGATGTTAAATTGTGGCAGGAGCAAGCCAAGATTTGAGTGAAGACATTTAAGGAACACAGGAGAACAAGAACAGCCATCAAGCACAAATATAGTTACAGAACAAACACAATTACCATCAGTAGCAACTTTTGACAATGACATGGACGTCAAGACATACAGTATAATACAACATAAGACTTGTGCACATCATAAAGCACAAATTAGAGCCACAAACTAGTGATTTGGTCAAAGTGAGCTTCACCAAATGAATTTGGTTACTCTATTGTCATTTTATCTGGAAAAACAACAGAGCTCTCTCCCTTCTTTTCCTGAGCCAGAGATAAAGCTGTGATGGGTCTCCAGCTCATCATCATTCATGTCTGGGCTTTTCTTCTCAGCCTATCTCTGCTGTCTGGTATTACACTCGGTCTTGCTCTAAGACTCTCCTCTAATAGAGCTCAAACGCAGAGCTCAGTGCCGCTCACTTACGTTAATCTCAGTAACTAAGATGTCAGTGATGCTGCCCAGCACAGTCACAAAGTCAAACACATTCCAGGCATCTTTCAGGTAATTCTGAGAAGAAAAGAATTAGAGAGATCATTCAGGGACAGGTTGGAGAGGCTTACAATTTCACACTCTATCGCAGGATTTTTTTTTTTTTACTGTGCATTAAAGAATTAGTTCACCCAAAAATGAATATTCTGTCATCATTTACTAGCCTTCATGTTGTTCCAAACCTGTGACCTTCTGTGGAACACAAAAAGAGATGTTTGGCAGAATGTCTAAGCTGCTCTTTTCCACACAATGAAAGTGGAAGATAGTGGAAGTGGACAGCTATAAAGATTTTCCAGTAAATTTGTTCCTCTAAAGCTGTCATTTGGCAGAAGTTTCATTTTTGGGTGAACTGTTCCTTGAAGATAGCTTTTAAGTGCAGCTCTTTTCCAACCAAGATTAAAGTTGTTGAGGGTATAAGTGACGATACTCACCAAGGGGCCGAAAGCAATAATCTTGAGAATACACTCCATTGAAAAGAGAGCAGTGAAAACAATGTTGAGATACTTGAGCATTGCTTCATAAAAGTCAGGAGCCCCATGGAACTGCAGGTATAAGAAGGGAAATATTTTATTTATTTGAGCATCTTTTTTTATTTTGTTACAACAAATTGCACGATTTTTACAAACGGGAATAAAACCAGTGGAAGTCAGCAGCAAAAATAAAATATTTAAATAAATTCTATTTATATATATTTAAAAATGCAATTTATTCCTGTGCTGGCAAAGCTGAATTTTCAGCAACCATTACAACAGTACTCAGTGTCACATGATTCTTCAGAAAACTAAAACGTTGATTTAGTGCTGAAGAAACATTTCTTATTATTATCAATGTTGAATGTTGCTTAATATTTTTGTGGTAAATGTGAAATTTTTTCAGGATTCTTTGATGAATAGAAAGTTTGAAAAAAACAGCATTTATTTGAAATGTAAATCTTTCGTAACATTATAAATGTTTTTTATCTCACTTTTGATCAATTTAATGCATACTTGCGTATAAAAAAAATGTGAAAAATGAATGAAACTTTGATAGCTGTCAACTCTCCAAGGACTGCTACTAAAAGAAAAATGGCTGACTGACCTTCATCATGAGTACCACAGTGTTGAGAGCAATCATGATCATGATGGAGTACTCAAAGGGTGGAGAAACCACAAACTTCCACAAGCGGTACTGAAAGGACTGCTGGTTCTGTGGCATATAGCGGGTCAACGGTTTGGCATTGATAGCAAAGTCAATGCAGGCTCTCTGAGAGGAAAAACAGCAAAAGAGGAATTCATTCACATAACAGTCACACTAGAGGTCTTCTCGGGTCCTAAAATCTGTACCCGACCCGAATCGACCCGAATCACTTCTTACCCGAACCCGACGTGCATAAATAATTTTTTTTAAAAAGAAAAACCCGACCCGAGACAGACCCGACTAAATTAGACCCGAGTCCGACACGACCCGACAGCATTTATTTTCGAACCCGTCTGGACCCGACGTAAATTGCATTGACGTGTGTACAGCTTGCAGCCCTGCAGTCAGTCAGGAAAAATCCCGGTGTCCTGTTGACTGATTTGGCCACTTCTCCATTACTTTGATTTATTTAACATTTATTCAATTTATTATTAGGTTACTTTATATAAGTGCCTGCCTGATGGATGCAAGTCTGAATACTTTCCGTACCCACTGTATATATTTCTTAGCTCCGCTTTCAATTGTGACCAGCGGATTTGAAAAATTGGGTCCATTTGGGAAAAGCATGTTCATTTTAAATTACCCGAGACCCGAGGCCGCTAATACTGAACCCGACCTGTGTCCAAGGTATTCGTCTAAGTTTTGGACCCGAACCCACTCGGGTCTCGGGTCGGACCTCGGGTTTTCGGATCCAAGCGGACCCGTGAAGACCTCTAAGTCACACACAACCACTGTTATCCATCTTTATCTTTCAGAAAAGACTTTCTGAAGTCACATTCTCTCCCGCATAACCAAAACGAATCATACAAAGAGCAGTGACAACTGTGGAAAACACAGTCTAACCTGTGAAGGAACAAGAAAATAGACCTCTAATGGCACTGATATTTTTTGGCTGCGTTGCTGTGAATGTTGATGATAAATTACTTCTCCTGAGGTCTGGGTTTTCACCACAGTTTGTGAGTCATGTTAGGCTGGCATATGGAGAGGGAGAGAGTGAAACATCACAGGCTCTGCAGACGCCTGGGCCCGTCTAATGGGACCTCAGAGGAAATAGGGCAGGAACATCTTGCTGACTGCTCTTTTATGGGGCTGACTGTCTCTGTGTGTCTTTAGTCACTGTGTGTCAACGTATGAATGTATACCTGTTTCTGAGTGGGTATTTAGGTGCCTGTGTGGTCCGCCGCAGGCATGTGCATTAATCCTTTCACAATTCCCTTTTTTTTTTTTTTTTTTTTTTTATTTATTTATTTATTTATTTTTTTTATATAATATAATATACAAACATTTTGTTCATGTGTCTTGTTCTCACTAGGTGTGTTCGACTTCAAGTAGTGCTGCTTAGACCGATTGGCGAGAGAAGCCGCTTGCAGTCGGGGCGGAATTGAAAGCAGAGATGTCAAGTCAGACACTTTCTGCTCCCGGTAGTGACGCTCTTTTGGTGTTTGTATACACTATCACCGATGAAGTGAATAAAAGGCAATATTTGTCAAATACACAGATGTTTCAGAAACGTTGTCATGAGCAACATAAACACTTTTTATATACTGCTTAATACAGTGCCTTCTGTTCAAGAATAAAGTTCAACATAAACATATACAATTTAAATACCAATAAAGTGGGGGTATATATGCTTTTATCAGTGTTTTTTGATAAAGTGACTCAATATAACATTGCGACTACAGTAAAAAAGCTTTTACTGTTATAAAAACAGATTTGTGAGCAATATTGGAATTGAAGATGCTAGAATAAACCCGAAACACACGCCAATCGTTAAACAGTTGTGTCGTCATCAGCACTCTGAAACGCTCTCTCGGTGCTTTTATGCCACACGTGACAGTGATGTGACGTGGCGTCGGCACTGTTTCAAGTCAGAATCTGTTTCAATTTCTAACTGGCATGCACTGCTTCAAGTCAGATTTCGATCGATCTGCGCAGTGCCACGTTAAGTCGAACAAACCTATTGGTTCCATTGTTGTATGTGTCACTCTCTCATTGGTTAAGCCCTCATGTTTGCCATATTAGTTTGTTGTGTTTTGTTGCCTGTAAGTACTGTTGGTGAGTTGTGTCCATTTCTATGTTCTTGTTTTGCCTAGTCAAGTCATGTCAAGCCATGCCATGTCTGTGTTTATTGTTTATCTGCTCAATTTTGGTAAGTACAATTTTTTGCTTTATTTATTTCTCCCATATAACTGAACGTGATATGAAAACTTTAATATTGCCCATCTCTTTTTAATGACATCAAATACCAAATACATATTTTTTATGAAGTTAAATACCAAACAAAAATACTTTTTACCACACCTGCCAATTGCAACTGAACAACGAAAACATTATGTTATATATAAATACATTATTCAGTTATACCTCATTCTTCTCCAGACTGCACTCTGACATGGCCTTGTCGCCCTGTTCCTGGAATGTGATAATTATCAAGGCCACGAAAATGTTGACAAAGAAGAAGGGGAAGACCACAAAGTAGACCACGTAGAAGATGGACATCTCCATGCGGTAGCCCGGATTGGGACCCTGGTCCTCAAAAGTGGCATCTACAGAATGCTTCAAAACCCTGTGCACAGACAACATTACACCATTACACCCTATACAGTTTAACATAATAAAGCATTGTAGTGTCTGGACCAATCAGACACACCATTTTTCATTTGATTTAACAAATCAATTATTCATTAGATTAACAAATAATCACAGACCCCCCACCTAATAAACATGCTGGGTGCCAGGATGTCTGTGAACGACCACAGGCCACTGGTCACCATGGCAACCACGGCACCTTTTGCTAGACCAGATACACTTTACGACCTAATGGCATGTTGAGAGTTCTCCCTTTCACCACATTTTCCATAGGAGAGACACAATACACAGTAAAAATGGACTCTTCTCTAATTAATTCATAGGAAAACCTTTCTTTGAATGAACACAGCCTCACATCAGTGACCCGCCTCCAGTCTGTGTTTCTGTTAGATTCTGAGAAAATGTGAGCTAGAACGCTCCTAAGGACACCCTAAATTCACGCCAGGCCTCGGGCCTTGACTTTCCATTCACCAAGATAATCTGACTCAAACTGGTTCTTTTCCATCAACCAACTTCAGCAAAGATCAACTTGAGCCTTCAGATTGCATCGGGACTCTCTGTCAGACAGATAAGACATGCAAGTATCAAACTTAGTCTTATTAATTGATACATTAAATATCATTGGCACCTTTTTACAAAGGTGTGTTTGAACTAAAAAGCTGATGTTTCCTTCAGGCTGCAGATCTGCTGAATATCCAATGGTCCCATAGCTTCATGATTCATTTCTTTTCTCTTTACTGCCTAAGCTTTAATCCTGTTCCTATACCAACTGTATGCGTGTGTGTGTGTGTGTGTATGTGTATGTTAGACTAGTTTATGTAGTTAATAAAGTCTTACTTGTATCACACTGGACATTGTTCGTTGTTTGCTCATAACTGAAGTCCCTAATCATGCAGATTTATGCTACATGCTCTGTGTAGTATTGTACAGTAAGAAAGTTATTTCCCTTATCCAGGAAATTAACGTTCTTAGAATTGACAGACAGTTGACCCTGAGACGTCAAGTAAATACTTACACCGGATCTAAATATTTATAATTAATTATAACTAGTTATGATTAATTATTCATATTTCCCCTTTGAGCTGATTCGCTACAGCATCTTGTGGGGGAGAGAAGATTAATTTATTTTACCCATATTGTAAGACTTTGAAAGAGTTTACTTTACTCTAAGTTCTTAGATCTAAGACAGTGAAATCACAGTATTATCACAGTTTGAATGAATACCTTTAACAGGTTTGATTTATGGAACTGTCATTTCTATTGTGTGGCCAAAGTAATACTTTTTTAAAAGAAAATTAAGTGAACTCCTCCAGTGTGTGACAACAGGTCTTAAACGGAAGCATTTTTATATATCATGCATTGCTGAATTTCTAAATACATTGAAATAATTTAATTAAACAATCAAACACTGTGAGGAAACAGAATTAAACAGCAGATGCAGAACACTGACCCAACAAGCTTGTGAACAAGTAAATAAATACAATAAATAAATAAAATAAATAAATGCATCACAGACAATTACAATGGCTTTTCCAGCGCATTCATGAGTTTGGCTCTGAGTTGGGGCTGACGCTGATTCATGAATGTCTGCCTAGTCTGCCTCCTGAGAGCTGTGCTCTACCAGTATCACAGGGCCTCAAAGCGCACCACTTCAAACTGATTATGGCCTTTAAAGTGAGAGAATAAAAGGCCACTGAGGGGTCAGAGGACACAAGGGAAGTGTTTGAAGGGGACAGAAGCTTATAGGTTTCTAATCCCCACAAAAACATACTGAATAGCAAATGGTTGAACTATATATAAAGCAAAATATCTGTGTTATAAATATAATTGGGGTTATGAACAACAAACTTCTGTATTCTGTAATACAGGTCACGTTGCTTCCGGTTCAGGTCTTTTGTATTCATTATATATAGAGCTGATTTCAAGATACTCAAGATACCTTCAAAGGAGATACCAAAGATGATCATAACTGATGACCATCACATATGTAGATTGATATCTAAAAGGTTTTTTTATTTTTCTTCTATTAAAATTGAAAAAAATGGCAACAATAAAACAACTAAGTTAGGTTAACTGATTACCTTAAAAGTCCATAGAGACCATCATCATTTCATACTGCTATTAACACTTTCTCCAACAAGCGGATACGATGAAACCTATTTTCTGGTTTGGTAAGGTGACGTTTAACATATACCCCATTAGGGACCATTTCACATGTCTGCTGACTTACGTTGGCCAGCCCTCTCCAGTAGAAACAGTGAAGAGAGTGAGAAACGCCCACAGCACATTGTCGTAGTGGAACTCATATTTCCTCCACTCCCTGGGCTGGGCTGCTACTTCATCCTTATCATAATCCAAGAACAGCCCTCTAATAAGAAAAAAAAAGAGACAGCATATATAAAGATATACCCATTCAGGATATGTGTTTAAAGAACACTGCCAACAGTAGATTGAACCTGGTGCTATCAGTACACCTGGAAGTTTAAAATTATTATTATTATTATTATACTTTAAAGAATAATTTTATACAAATGATTGACAAAGAGCAGAAGGGAAGTATTTTAGAGCTGAACATAAGTAGAAAAATGTACATTCACTCCAGAAACATTTTTATTTTATTATATTTTATATGGCTTGTTTGTAAAATTCCCTAATAGTTTCAAAAACCTATCACCAAGCGTTCCATAGTTGTGGGACCCAACACCTTATCTCATTATCTCATAATTTCTCCACTCACTTTTGCATGGATTTGGAAAATACTGCTGTATGCCTGCAGATAATCAGGCCCCTACTCTCTGCTCCTGTATTAATCCCACTCTACCTGCAGTATTTCTCCAGGCCTTTGGACTCGTCTGTGCAGTAGAAAAACTTGCCCTTGAAGAGCTGCACAGCAATGACAGCAAAGATGAACATGAACAGGATGTAGACAATGAGGATATTCAACACGTTCTTCAGGGAGTTCACCACGCAGTCAAACACGGCCTGAGAGAGAGCAGACACACATACAAATACACTCTGATTCATTAACAATCAACTACAGTCATAAAGCGGAATGCTTTATGCATTTTTATTTAAAAATGTATTTGTTCTTGTCTTCAGACAGGTGGAAGAGAAATAGTTCCTTTTCTACAAAACTATTTGCTGTTATGTATTTTTCATTTCAAAGTTTGTGAGCCACATTCATTTTCATGTAATTTTTGTTTATATCCTTTCTTTGTCTTAGTTATTGTCCATATCTATTGTGTATACCAATAGTACTCACAGACAGAACATTTGTTATGTTTACACTGTTACTGTGTTTTTTTCTTTTTGTCTATAGCCCAGCAACGTGTTACAAAATTACAATAAACCTGACTGATTTCTATTTCAAATACAATTCTTTACTTCTTTTAAAATTTTAATTGATCAAAAAATCCTAAAAACAATCCTCATGGTTTCCACAAAATATTAAAAGTATATATATACTTTCCTAACCATGACGGCTGTATTGATGGACTGCAACCAAATGTGTACCTTCAGTTTCGGTAGACGTTTAATGGTCTTCAGTGGTCGCAAGACTCGCAACACCCTCAGGGACTTGATAGTGCTGATGTCTTTGCCCTTGGTTCCTCTACACAAGTCAAAATAAACAAAGGGTGAGTAAATTCAGGATCAAACAAGCTGTAGACAGCCTTCATCAAAGGATTCATACATATCCAGACAAAACACATGAGGATGTGAGTAAACGTGATGAAAATGTTTCCATCGATTAAAATGTCAATAATGAGACACTAGACTAAACATACTCACCTTTTTTATAGACAAACTAAATAAACACCAACAGCTAATTCTCTAATAAATGAGCATCTTTTAGTGTCATAGCTTGAAATTGCTCCAACAATGGATTGGTTATTTTACAAAAGCACATGCTTTGATGACAGAGTATGAAACACATATATCTCTATTGCATGCATGTAAAACAGTTAATATCTCTGCATTAATGAGCTCTATCAGAACTGTTAGCTTGTTGTTGAATGACACTTTAATATTATTTGTGCATAAAATAAGAAAGGGAACATGAATTTAACCCAAACACTTCAGTGCATCAGATTCTAAAACAACAACATGACACCAATGATAACAAAGAAACCTTTCTTTTCAGGAACCAATGCTGTTTTGCTTTTAAGTTTTTATCAAGCTGACATGCTTCAAATGTGTCACTTTGATGAAATGACTGCATAGATTTGAATACAGTACATGTATTCATTAAACGCAGAACAAGAAAAGAAAAAGGACGGCTAAATAAAATGTATTGATTTTAAATGTATGTAAAAAGAAAAGAGCAGGCCTCAGCAGAAATCAGTCATGCTTCAGCTCCTAAATGCTCAAATCATAACCGCCAAGCTAACAATGTAATTTAATGAAGTAACTGCAAGGACAAGCATAGTCGTTAACTGAATCATGAGGAAATACTCCATGGTCATATGAAATAACTGAAGCCCTTCGCATTATATCTAATGCAGGCAAAGTGCAAACAAAGTCATATTATTTGTAAGACATCACATTCATTCAAATAACCTTCACTAAGCCCCTATTTTGATGCAGGGCATGTGTTTTGTTGGATGTCTGACAAAATTAAGTGCAGGTAAATTACTATATGTGCTAATTCATTCTCCCAATTATCTTATATTACAACTAGTTATTACACGGCTCTCTTGAATATTTGATTCTGATTGGTCGATCACGGCATTCCGTGGCCAGAAATTTAATATCGCCGCCCATGTCAACGCTCTATACAAATCCTATAAAATTGGCACAACTTTTATACATCTCGTATCACACCGCCTGCAAATGCAACTGACGCCATATTGCGTCTCAGTAATTGACTACAGTAAAAATGACTCTGGATGACTTCTGTACAAATTTTACTGTAATATCGGTAAAGCGTTTTGTCTCATTGCTCGGCTGTTTGTTTTATACATTGTAATGGATTATGTAATTGTAATCTTTTTCGCTTAGAGGTTTTAACATAACATACAGGTAAAATTATTTCAGCTCAAATAAATATTTCATGTATTTATTTATTTTGGAGAGCAGCCGTGTAATAAGTGGGATAATGTACAGTAAGCTGGTCATTATCATTTGCATTTATTTGCAGGTACCGTTTAGTGCTTCCAGTGCAGCAATGGAAGAGAGAACAACAGAATATCTGACAGTTCATATCGCATCTAATTTATTCATGGTCTCTTACTTCGATAACGCGTTGAAATAATCATTACTTTGGCAGGTGTATGATTGTTGCTGACAAATGATTCAGCAGAAAATAACTTCAAGAATTTATTGTGAAAATGCTTACAATAGAAAAATCCCCAAGCAGTGATTCCCCTCTATTGCACATAGACATATTTCCTACTACAAGAAATGACCTACAACTACAACAGATCTTTCCATGTGCAAGAGCAGGTGGTAGTAACATTTGCAGATTTCTAGCATTTACAATAATAAGCAAAGGTTCAACTTCACCCCTAGAAAGTGCCAACGTCTACTCACACATGCACAGTTCATACATTCTTCTACAAAACCAATGAACACCAATCTAACAGCCAATCAGCAGAGACCTTTCAGCATTATCACCAATCAGCATGGCGAAGTTACTCCTCTGGCCCAATCATAGGGCTCGACAAGGTCATGCAACTCCACCCATGCTTCCTGATGCACCTTAGTCTAGCATGCATTTACTGTACAGGGCCTGATGTTTATCCCCCAAACCCACTACAAACTATAAAGAACCTCAATAACGTCCCACTGGACACCCTGGTAACTTTCACAGGACCCCAGATAACGATGATGGTGGAGAAATGCTCTTTCACATCAATACAACATCAATCAACAATCATTTAGAGGTGCTGTTGAAGGCTAGCAGTGTTATTGTAGAGGCTCCAACCCTGGACAGATACTCTCACTCCACTAATATGTAGTGACAGTAAAGGACATAATCCCAGTAAGCCCAGGACAATGAGGAACAGAGAAGATTTATCAAGGAGAAAAAAGAATATCAGGGGTTCCCCACCTGTTTACGCTTTGATGTGATCTAATGAATGAGAAGAACACAAAGCAAAAGGCAAAACATTATGACATGCTGACAACAGAAAGTACCTCTGCACTAACAGTAAACCACATCATCCTTTCAGAACATTGCACATAACATTTCAGTGAGAATGAAAAAGACTTTTATGAGCACCATCATGTTCTTTTGTGAGGCTAAAACACAAGACATAATGACTTTGATGACTGTATGCAGGAGAAACAGGAAATTGCAGGACTTTTTCAGGCAAATGTTTTGGAAACTGACAAAAGGGAGGAAGAGGCTTTGTATGGTGGGTGAAACAGACACTTCCAAATGCCGTTCATTTCTTTTAAGGTTGTAAGAGAATGGAGTCTGCAGAGACAGCTGTAGGAGAGATGAGGGGTACACTTGACAGAGAGGGAACATCTGAGGATGGATCTGAAAACTAGCACAATCAAGATCTGGAGTGAATACCAAGACTTGCCATAGATCAGTCCTGATTTGATTCATATCACGCTTATGAACTTTAAGCATGGTTGAAAGATGGCTTTAAAAATAACAAATGGCTATAAACCTAAAAAGTATAACATTACTATTATACTTTATTGTACAGGTGTTCATTTCGGTCCGTCACATATGGGCAAAATGTTATATCCAGGGATGCATGTTATCTTGGTATCAATTAATTGGTTCATATCAACCGTTCCATCTCTTTACTCAAATGATCAGCTGTGTCTGACGGTTGCTTGATTGCGCCTGAAATGTAAAGGTGATAGAGCTTTTTTGGTGACAGCTGACCTTAGGGTCATTTCAGAGGGCTATAAAAACTCATTTATTTTCCTTAGCTTTTAATAATGTATTGTAAATTATATGTGTTTTTGTAGTTTTTTAGCTTCATGTATTTGACTACTTTTATGTACAGCACTCTGGTACCCATTGTGGTTTTTGAAAGTGCTCTAGTAATAAAGTTAATAACTCAATAAAGAGTTGATATTTGATATTTAATTGTATGCTAATTTTTCCAATTTTAGCATTACAATTACCTTTGCTGTCATCTAACAATCAAGTTAATCCTTAAACGTCCTTTTTTTAATAACACTGTTGGATTCCATCTTACGCTAAATAAAAGCTAGCTAAAAACGTTTTAAAAAATCTAAATGAATAATATCATACCTAAAAAAATTTTTTTTTTTTATGCTGTTAATTTTTGGTGTTTTGTATTTAATTTATTTAGTCATTATAGAATTTTAATATCAGTGCATCTCTAGTTATAAATGTCTTTTATGCTTTAAAGAGCACTTTCAAAGATCTGGCCAATCACAGCAGTCACATTTGCAGTACATCACACTCTCTCATGTGAGTCCGAAAACATGCAGAAAGATAAGCATGTACAATAAATATGTTCATGCTCTTACGTCCACCAATGGAGCATGTATGTGATGTTTAAAGTGAACAATGGTGCATTTACTGGCCAAAAAGCCAGACTTGCCCTGATATGCCACTCCAACACAACTGAACAGGTCATCTTTGATATGATATGACACATGCACTGATCATCCTGTCTGAGGTCACTAGGGATCATCCAGGATGCTCCATATTCAGTAAGCACTGAAGACCTACTGAGAATGGTAGGAATGTTTCGAGGAAATGAAACAGATCGATAGTGTCTGCCCTCCATGACAACAGAGAATTAAATGGCATGGAGAAGACGACCAAGCTCACTGACTGCAAATGTGTGAGTGATGCCAAATGATGGATTATGGAGAGGCTGAAACACTGCAGAAGATCCCATGCTTCAACACTTGCCTATGGGCTAAGCATTACTGGACTCACACAGAGACAGGCAAGAAGACGAACAGTGAAAGAGAGAGAGACAGAGACAGAAACAAAGACACAGGGAGAGTTAAGGCGTTACCCCATGAAGCTCCTTTCAAGCGATTCCAAGCAGAGAGAAACAGAGGAAGAGAGGAAATCAGTGACAGCACATCAATACACTCACATTTAACACGTCTTTGACATGACAACACAGAAACAAACATAAAAACAAACAGGAAGTAGGACAGATTAGTCAGTACAGCTGAGAGACCCCTTCATTCTGAGATACCCCTGCAATTCTGAAGCAGTATTTCAAGGTATTGCACCCACTCTCTGTTCTGCTTGCCTTGCTCAGGCAGCGGAGAGGCTGGTGTATCATGTGAAAACAGCACTGCCACTGATCTCACAATATTGCACCAGCACCATAGCAATTAAAAATCTTAACATTACACCTTTTCTATTTCTGTTGAACTGGCAAGTGTTTCTAATAGCAGCTAATAACATTTCCTCAATACTAAAGTGTTGCAATGGCTCATCCATTAAACCACAGAAGATGAGCGAACAGCTGATCGTATCAGACAACTCCTTTATTAGCTCCTTCACACACACACACACACACACACACACACACACACGCTCATTCTTTTAGAGACTGCATTCTCAAAAGTGCAATAAAGTGATGTCAACTGACCCACACCTCTGAGAGAAGGACAGGAAGGAAATAACAGATCAGTGGGAGTTTGCAGCCTTGAATGTGTACAACAAAGTCAGACAAAGACACTCTTGTCATGCTGTGGGAACAAGTGTAAAGTAAAACCTTTTAAAAAAGAATAGGAGTATATGGGCAAGAACTAGTTTGAAGCCAAGATCAATAATAAACTTCAAACATGGTTAAGTACAGATTTTAATTAAGAGTGTTCTAATTTATGGGATTTAGGTATTTGTAAATTAAAGGCAACTTACGAGAATGTGAATGCCACCAGTGCACCACTGACCACAATGAAATCCAGAATATTCCACAGATCTCTGAAGTACGAACCAGGATGCAGCAATAAACCTAAATCCACCATCTTTTCAAAGAAGAAGCATAAATATGAAAGATTATACACCATCATTACAGCCATCAAAGCACCATTTCTGTAACAAATTCACTGCCTTTACAATACATTTCAAGAAAATTACTGACAGACTTTATATCATTCACTGTGAGCAATGTTCCCATTATTATACAGAATACTAACTTTTATTGTGAAGAATATGACAGTTTTGTACAATAAAAGCTTGTAGAAATTTTGCTGTTTTTTTTTGTGAGAATCTGTCAGTTACTGTACTGAAACTATTTATGAACCCAAGATCATGTCCTGTGTGATCTTAATTAGACCAACTACTGTAGTTGACTAGTTGTTCAGACAAACTACTGACTAGTCGTTTATGAAAGATGGGTCAATGGGCTTCACATAGAGAGACTGTCACCAAATAGCCTTATCTCTGGTTATGAGAAGAATTCTGGATCACTTCTTCTATGAGATATCCAATTAAACAGTGTAATTTACCATAAAATTACCTTAATGACCATCTCAAAAGTGAAAACACCAGTGAAGACATAGTCCAAATACTTCAGGACCTATGAAGTGAAAAGTAAAATGGTCATCAGATTTTCAGCAGTCATAGGAAAATGAGGTCAAACACTGACAAAATCTGACTTTGAACAGTCAGACCAGCTCAGACAAAACATATGAGTGACTTACATTGTTACGAGGGGCATTGGCTTGGACTGGGTCCTCCGCAGCCAGGGCTATACTGCTCATGGAAATCACCACCAGGATACACATCTCAAAGTAGCGCAGACTCACAATGTAGTGGCACAGACGTCTCACCCTGCACACACACACACACACACACACACACACACACACACACACAAAAACCCCACACTATGAGAGTGAGGCTGAAGGCAATTACATAATGAAGTCTGTTACCTAAACATAACTTTAAATCTACAGACAGATGCATTTAATTAACCACCGATAATTAATATTTTCATGCAGGCCATAGGCAAGGTCTGAGATCAACAATTAATTCAGTAATAGTGTCGCTTTTAGCAGACATGTCTGGTAGGCACGGCCAGGTGAAAAAACACCCATGTGGCATTAGTATATAGTAAAATAAAAGTATTACTATATTGTTTCACCAACAGGACCATGACAGACAAGTGCATTTGGAAATTGCCCATTAATACACAGCTTTATGTGGCGGTTTATGGAACTGGATGCCTTTCAGACTTAAAGATCTTAAAGTGCTTACCTTAAACACACACGATTAAAGTTCACAACCATTCTTAGTGACGGTTGAGACAAGTAATAAGCAGAAACGTTTGCAGATATAACAGCATTGGTGGTTTGCCAGTCTCCATCTACAAATGCTGTATGTGAATGTTCAGAACGACACCCAGCAGTGTTGTGGAAGCTACTTTGTACCATACAGTAAGTAATCATAATTTATAGTAGAAACGACATTCAAGCTACTTTTAAAGTCGACATGAAATGAAAATTCACCCTATCTATTTTCTAAATGCATGTCATTGATCTTATTGTGAATGATTTATCCATTCATGTGTATAATTTTTTTTATATTTGTTTTGACTAGGTTTTTTTTTTGGTTTTTTTAAGTAAAATGTCAATACATGGATCTGGACAGGCCTGGATTAACACAGTGTAGTGCCCTAGGGTGACCACATTTAAAGTGCCCCCCTACACTTCTATAAAACGTACATTTACTTACGTTTTTACAGGCACTAAAACGTACAATACTATTTTCAGCATCTAAATGTACAAATACTTATGTATTTTCAGCATTTAAATGTATAAAACTGACATTTTGACGACACCTAAAAATTAATCTTTATGAATATCGAAATCGCGGCATTAATTTTATTATTGTTGTTGTTTTTAGTTGTCATATCAATGACCTTATGTTTTCAATTGCATTATTAAATTGTTTACTCGCTTACTTAATATGAAATGATAACATTTCGTTCTGTTCTGTGATTTTTGCTGCCAGCTCATTTCCAAGAATAGGCCTATATAATGTTAAACAGGACTTCACTTTAAACCCTTAAAATAAATAATATTTCTGCAATCGTTTAACCTTTACTTGTCATGTAATGTTTACTTTGTTTACTTTGCCACAAAAGGCGTTTTCTCCGACATGCTGTGACTGACAATAGAACTATAAAATACATAAAAAACGCAAGAATTACGAAATGAAAAATTTTATTTGTGCGCTGTAATCCAGATCTTCCGAATCCATACGACTGCGAGAAACAGACCCAAATCCAAGCCTTCATTCGGCGATCTTCATCTCCATCCCAAGCAGCGAGTCCAGTGACTGTAAGCAGCAAAGCCCACACTGACTGACGCGCTCTTTACAAATGCAAATGTTGCCACTTTGAACGCTCATTGCCTCTCGCCCTTCACGGAGTGGATCGGGAAAATAATCGGGATATTTTCAGCGATTAATAACATAAATTCTGCTCTGCACCTCACAAACCTTCTGTATTCCACCAGAGAGGACTGCGACTGCAACGCATTTGGATTAGTCATTTGGATTACTTTTGGTACTGCTTTTGACATTTTTGCAATAAATAAATTATTATAATTGCATTTATCTGTCTGACATGTTTTTCTTATACAGTACAGAAATAGTTATGTTTAGGTTTAAAGGTAGGAGTTGGATTAGCGACTATAAAAATATTTTTAATGCTATTGTTACCAAAATGGTTATTTCCTGCATATTTCGGTCAATTGCGTTTTATATCCTTTTATATTCGCTATAAAATGGGTAGGTTTAGGTTTGGGGGTAGGTTAAGGGGTCTAAAAATCTAAATCGCTTTTTGATAAAATTATATAATCTATATTTATATCGAATATCTTAATGATATAAAAGATATGTAAATTTTTTATGTTTTTTAGCTAAAATACGTAGCGATTTGTACATTTTAAACATTGAAATACGTCTAAATTGTACGTTTTGGCATCAATAAAAAAGTACAAAAACGTACATTTTGTGCTTGTAAATGTAAATGTAACGTATTAATATCTACGTATAAACACTAATGAGACCAGGCTGGACCTGACCCAATCGCAATTCTTTATATATGCCTATATTTTATATTCTCTCTGTATATATTGTATCACTGCAAATAAATTCTTTAAAAATCCTACAATGTGATTTTCTGGATTTTTTTTTCTCATTTTGTCTCTCATAGTTGAGGTATACCTATGATGAAAATTACAGGCCTCTCTCATCTTTTTAAGTGGGAGAACTTGCACAATTGGTGGCTGACTAAATACTTTTTTTCCCCACTGTATATACAAAACATGAAAAATAAGGTCTAGTTATTATCTTAATCAATTGGTGCCCCTTACTGGCTGTTGCCCCAGGGCACTCGCCCAATCCCGTCTGTGGATAATCCGGACCTGGATCTGGATCACTAAAACAACAGATATCTCTCTGGTGATGTATGTCAGAATTCTTTGATTGTTTAGTCCACTTAAACCCATCCCTTCTTACAATTAACTCTAAGCTCACTTTCATGTCTGCCTCCATCCAATCAACAACCAATGGATAGAACCAAGTCTCTGCCCTAAACGCTTTTATTTTTTGTAATAACTTGAAAGTATGTCACAATACAGAAAAGATCTATCACTACTTCCGTTTCATTACGAGACATTTAAATATTTTTTTACTGTAGATAATAAACTGTGAAACACTACTTGGAAAGCAAGAATATTATGGTAAGGTGTATTTGACATGCTCATTCAACTGTGCCATACTACACCAATACTTGTCGACAAAAAATAGCTTATGTCTGGAAAGCCTTTTTTGAATGTGAGCTACTGTCAAGCTAACAAAAAAAATTGTTGAAGGAATACTTCAGCTTCAATGCAAGTTTAGCTCTAACAACAGCATTTGTTACATTGCACTGGGGTAAATGTTCAAATGCACATGGTTTTGAAAGCACTGGGACTCATGAATTTTCCACACACACACTTACGGATTGGTTGGGCTGAAGATGAACATGGAGCTGAAGGGAAGGACAGGACGAGGGCTGCTCTGGTTCAGATCCTCCAGATTCTTCTCAGTCATGGGCATCGTCTCACTGTCTATACTGTTCACTGAGAAGACAAACAGATGTCACGTGTGAATTTAAATATTTGTAAACTTTAGACCAACACTGGCTTGTTGCCAGTAGCAATGTAAACACCCTTGAAAAAATGGCACACGTATGCGAGTATAAAATGAGTGAAAAATTGGTCAAAGTGACCTTATAGGACTGTATGAGAAATACTAACTGGGAATAAGGGTTGTTTCCCCAGGGGGAGATGTGATGGTCACAGGTATGTGTGTGCCCATTCCTCCAGTCTGACCAATATTTAGTTTATTGTCCAAGTCTTCTGGCTTCTCAAGACACCATCGGCTCCCAACTGAAGGTTGATGGGGGTTTACAGCCAGTGAATCTCCTCCCATGTCCATGTGTCTGCAGCAGTGAGTCAAAATGAGGTTACACTTTGGTGTTTTGGTCATGAATGTCTCTGTGTTTCTGAACTAATCTTTTAAGTGAACAAATTCTTCACTGTCAATTCCATGCACTGATTCATATTTCAGAGCATATTATTGGCTGGACCCACTGAATAAATAGACCCTTCAATGAACGTGTTGGTGTTTTGAGTTTGGATTGACTCAGAAAGGCACTGGGAAACAAACTGACTCAGAAACAAACTAGGACTCAAACTAAATGAAGAAAGCATCTCGTTCATGAATGAGGATGTGTTGACTGACAACATTCTTTTTGAGTCATAGAAATGTTGATATGCACATTTTATTAAGTAAATAAATGTTTGGCTTAAAATGTTTGTGAACAAATCTGTTGAGTACATACATTTGCTTATAGTATAAAAAAAGTCACTGGTCACCACCAGTGTTGGGAGAAACGCATTACAAAAGTAATAATATTACAGTAGTATATTACGTTTTGCTGTAACGCAGTAATATAACGCATTACTAATAAAATGTGGGTAATATTATTACTCGTTACAATCTCAGTAACACAAGTTACAACAACATATTTTAACTCAAAATTAAGTGGTGAATTTACCAACACCGTAAACCAGCACCAGAGAAAAAAATCCGCGGGTAAAATAGTTTGTCTATCTTCTGTTGCTGGAATTAGATGGATGACCGCAGAGACGGATTCTACATTTGTGAGATGGACACACTCCTGTTATTTTCAGTTCGTCTGAGAAAAGGATAAGAATGCTTAGCAATATGTGCGACACCAAGCTCTCAACATGGAGAAATAGCATGAGTAAAACCTGGAAACACTGGACTGGTGCCACTAACACTAAGCTATCGGAGAGAGCTGCAGGGTCGGAGAAGAGGAGGAGCGCAAACAAGCACAAAAATTAAGTTTAACCAAAAATAACTAAATCTGTTTTTGTTAAATCATAGTCTATATGTAAAATGAATGAATATGCGAAATATTTGACTTAAATAGCCTAATTAACAGATTAACAAAACGAAAGGAAAAGACTGAGAGATATGCTGCTGAGTTTGGTGGGCGCAGCGCTCTACGAAAGTCCACGGAAAGGAAACCGAGATGACAGAAATAAAAGTAAACACATTGCAGTTTCGAATGCTCTGTATGACGGAATATTTTTTTGTTGTTTGTTTCTGCTGTTCGATCGCGCCGGCGCTTCACGCACACACATACAGCATTGCAAACATTGCAGCCTGTTCATTATCAGAATAAAATAGTCAACCAAACATAGATACACTGGTTAATTTAAATAGTGCGTACCGCGTAGTTACAATCGGTGCCGTTCAGCCAGAGCTTGGGCCAAAGACACATTTGCTCATGTGACGAGGATGTTTTTTAAGTGCGTTATAAGCCTGGTTTACATAATAAATGATAGTTTAGCATTCAAATACATCGCAAATATGGACACATTTAATTGGATTAATGCCGAATGAGAGAGGTAGGCTGCGCGACAACACTGTTTGCTTTTAGTTTCACATTGAATTAGCCTCAGTGGCGGCTCCAGGATTTTTTTTGTTGGGGGTGCTAAGGGGGGGCTTAACAGTTCAGAGGGGGTGCTAAAAAACTAATTAAATTGAGTGAAAATAATGAACGCCTATAAGCTTCAGCATACAAATTCAGCCACCTTGTGTTTTTTATATACAGCAGCTTCGAAAAAGGCATATTTTAGATTTTTTTTTCTGTGGTATAAACTTCTCATATGCCACTGTTATTAGTGATATAACTTTAATGCCAACTGCCAAATATGACACTTACAAATTAATACAATTTATGAACGCACATACAATTTTTTAATTTTTTAATTTTTTTATTTTATTTGAATTTATTTTTTTACACATTTATTTAGTCATTTTTTCTGACCATCAAGTGTCAGTCACTCTCAGTGCCAACTGGCAGGAAAACATGGTAAATTCTAACCATTTTTTACAATAGATAAAGTGCAGACAATTCATACAACTATTTCCACACAGTGGCATAGCAGATGGGCACGCACTGCGGGGGGCCCCCATGATAACCTCCCCGTGCTGAGATGCGTCGTATCATGTGTCGACGATAGCCAGAGATATTGTCAAAACAAAGCATCAAAAATGGGCAATATTAAGAGGATTTAAAATTTCCAAGTAATGTAGGCCTGTTACATTCTTCTTATTATTAGGCCTATTATTATTATTAGGTTACTTTTATTATTAAATGACATTAAATTACTGCGCCGCAATTACCGTATGGCGCGCTGTGAGGATAATTAAAATTTAGGCTATTAGCTTAGGCTACTCCTCATCGAAAATGTTTTTTTAAAGTTTTTTTTAAACAGGTCTATTAATTTATACAATTGAATTATAGGCCTATAATTAAAATTATTAACACTGCAGTCATCAATGAAAATTAAGAGCAGATTTATTTCGTGCACAGATTTTCAAAAACAACCTGTTTAAGTGAAAAATCTGTTTTTTTTTACTTTCACTTTCTCTATAGTGAATTTACTGACGTTCACCGGCATAACTCTTGCACACAGTTTGCAGTCTTGCACGCCCTAGCGCCGCCACTGATTAGCCTAATTCGTTTTGGCTTGTTTAGCAACTTATATTTTTCATTCTTGTTTTCTTCTGAAACCGTTCAAAATTGCCTATAGGCTAGGTATTGTGTTTATTGTTTGTACATTATAACCAGGGGCGTAGATTACGCGGGGGACACAGGGGACGTGTCCCCCCACTTTTTCGGGGAAGTGTGTTCACATAGAGATTTTCAAGAGCCGGTGTGAATAAATATATATTTAAATTCAAAGAGACAGGATAGTCTGTGCATGATCTGATGTTTTATTCGGACCCAGAATAAGGCGAGATGAACATCACGGAACGCAAAACACTCTCACGCAGAAAGTCATACCAGCAAATTCCTAATATGGACAAAAGCGTTCAGCTATCGCTGTATGAAAACAGTTGTTTTCACAGAAAAACAGAAACGTTTGGAAACATGAAGACATTAAACATACGATTGCGACAATATATGGTTTATTTGTGTTTATCAAATCATCTCCAGGTCATAAATAAAGTATATGAACAATGCAGTGCTAATTGACATAGCATTTATTACAGTATAAATACTATTCTACCTTATTATGTGATAAAAAGTGTTTGTAGTATATAAACAAATCATTATTATTGGTCACTCTCCAGCAGTTATCTGATTTCTAAGCCAATTAAAGCTAGAAATTAGAGAAAAATTAAAGTTGTCTATACACTACCAGTCAAAACTTTTTGAACAGTAGGATTTTTTATGTTTTTTAAAGAAGTCTCTTCTGTTCACCAAACCTGAATTTATTTGATCCAAAGTACAGCAAAACAGTAAAAATTTGAAATATTTTTACTAGGCTATTTAAAATAACTATTTTCTATTTGAATATATTTTAAAATTTTATTTATTGTGATTTCAAAGCTGAATTTTCAGCATTGTAACTCCAGTCACACGATCCTTCAGAAATCATTCTGATATTCTGATTTGCTGCTCAAGAAACATTTATTATTATTATTATTATTATTATTATGTTGAAAACAGCTGAGTAGAATTAATATTAATAGTAAAAATATTTTGCTCTACTTTGGATCAAATAAATGCAGGCTTGGTGAACATAAGAGACTTCTTTATAAAACATTAAAAATCTTACTGATCAAAAACTGTTGACTGGTAGGTTATATAGATTACAGAAATGTTATATTGTAATGTTGTAACATATATATATATAACATTCCTGTCCCCCTCACTTCTGAAATGATGGCCACGCCCCTGATTATAACATTTCGCTTTATTTACCGGTGTTATTTATGAATGTAATAATGCGGTTTCTGCTTATCTGTGTTTAAACCTAAACTACAACATACCATTAATGTAGACCTACATACCGGTATCTAAATAAGATTTTATAATTTTATGCTATACAGACCTATCACATTACACTCCACTGGGTGTAGAATGAGCAGCAATAAACTACATTTTTGTATTTTATAATACTTCTGTGGATATTTTGGTGAAAGTAACTCAAAAGTAGTGTAACGCATTACAATTCAGAGACAGTAATATTGTAATGTAACTAATTACTTTCAAAAGACAGTAACTAGTAATATATAATGCATTACATTTTGGAAGTAACTTGCCCAACACTGGTCACCACCCACTGGGGTGTAATGACCAAGAAAAAAGAAAGTCACTGAATGAATCAATGAACAAATCTCAATGAGTCTTTTTGCTGAATGGATTTAAGGGAGTCATCTCCACCACTGCTCATATGAATAAGGTCAACAGTATTGTAGCTACTGGAACATGGTTCAGTTTTCTTGGGAACTTGAGAACAAATGTGCTGTTCAATCTAAAGTATAATAAAAAATAAAAAATATATTTTAAAAAATATTTGAGAAGAAAGTTTTACCTGTGGCTGTGCGACTTGCCCTCCTCCTTCTCTTCATTCCCTTGTTGCTCCTCTCCTTCCAGCGTGGACTGAGCTTTACTGGTACGTAGTCTGTGCTGTGTCCTCCCTCCATTACCTCCATTTTCGCCCCTGGAGCACCTCTCTCCCTCCCTTGTTCCCGAACGTGAGCCATCCTTCTGCCTGGACCGCCGTTCGCTCTTCCCCCCAGCACTGACCACTCCGTTGCCCTCTCTGTTATGCCTGTGGGAGTGATGGTGACGATGTTCTCTCTCCCCACCACCCTCATCCACTGAGCTCTGGTGGTGATGTCTGCGGCCCCCCTCTCTGCTCCGGCTCCTGTCACTCTTCCCCTCCTTACACCGTGTCCCATCTTGCTCCTTACTGCGGCTGTGATGGACGTGATGCCAGCCTTCTTTGCCATGACCCGTGTCACCATTTTCATTGGTCTCATTGGAGGGACGATCCCTGTGACGGTGGTGCTTGTGTGGTTGGTGTGACTGTGGGGGCTCCATCACAGGGGGGACTCGTTCCTCCAGTGTGCCGCCCTCCCCTTGCAAATTCTGGGGTTTGTCCCAGCCTCTGTGGGGACTGATGGGACCATCACAACGAGGTTCCACCACCAGAGGCCGGTCCAGGTGGGTTTTCATGTCAGGGCGGAGGTGAAGGTTAGAGGTCAGCCGAGGGTTGAGCTCTTCTTGGTACAATGCCTCACTGCTGGCCCGTATGTGCTTCCGAATCTGCGTGGTGCGCTGCTCCCATACGGACATCATTTTTAGAGAACGCTGCTGTTCTTTACTAGTGAAGAGAATATTTAAGGAAAAAAATGTGTAAGCCTCAGACAGATTCAATTAAAAAACACTTAGGCATGGTGTTGACGTTAGTCTCCATCCATGTTGAGACCCCCTTTCTACATGGTGATTTCTTGTTTGCGTTATTTGAAAAATCCTTATCGATTTGAAAATTCATTTTGGATAGATGAAATTCACACAAATTAACAGTTTTGTAGTCTAGACCAGAAGAGGGTTGAGTTTGAGTCAAAACCGAGATCCAAAGAAGACTGAGTCTGAGTCAAGACTGAGTCCACATGACAAGACCGAGACCATGAAAGTATGCTCTTGGACTCAGACATGAGAACCAAGACCAAGACCTTGATCTTGTCATGGACTCTGGAGCATGTGAACTCAGTCTTGACGCTGACTCAGTCCCTTTCTAGTCTGGGTCTTGATTTAGATATGAATGAGTTGGTCTCGACTACAACATTGAAAGTTAATATTAAATAATATACGTTTTTGACAATATTGCTGGAAATTTTGTCTGTTTTTGCTCTACTAACTAAAATAGTTCTAAACAAAGCCAAAGCAGGATCTGTCTAACACTGAACACAGCGGAGAGATACAAAGAGTGAAAAGTACATGTCACTGCTCTTGGAACGGCGTTAGTTTAAGCAGATTTGAGGACTGGAACTAACCCCTGTATAAATAAAAAGAAGGTCTTTATGGATGCCAGATTACAAATATTAGTTATAGGCATGCTTTACTCATCCTGCAAACGTTTGTGAACAATGATTTAGGTCATGAAGTTTAACCTTGCAACCTATACTCTAAGTGTAGGACATTTAGAGGGATTTGTCAGGTCTAATGACCTCATATCTATTGCTCCCTTACAAGGAACAGTTCACGCACAAAAGACATTCTGTCATTGTTTAATCACACCCCATGTCATTCGGATTTAGAACGACATGCTTGTGAACAAATGATGACAGAAGTCTCCTATATTTATCCTATCATGTCTTTTCTGGGCAATGTCATCTTATACCTTATTTCTTATCCAATTAGTTAGCATGAAGAGAACATGAATCAAGACAGTTATTGCTGTAAAAAGTACAAAAGTAAGGAAAAGATTCAGCTGGGGAAAAGTGACACGTCTACACTTCTCTTTTCTCCACATCGCTCTATTCTGGGCACACCTCTAGCAGGCAGGCCGTGTTCAAGAGAGTGATGAGTGAAATACAGCAATGTGTAGACAGGTGATGGGACAGGGAACACTCTCTGAGGCTGGGAAAGAGATGAGAGACTGATTTTCAGACACTATTTACTGCTAAAGCACTAACTAGGCCTTGTGGTGTGAAACAGTCCTGAGGTCAGACTGTAGCTCTTGTGGACAAGCAGGACGGAGTGGTGCAAACTCCCTGGTTTTACTGTATGACAGGACCTCAAGGTGTGATCTTCATTTCCCTTTTCTGTTTATTTGACTTTTGGCCATGTTAATAATAACAGATAGCAGAAAGATCACAGAAAACTTTGGGGGGAAGAGGGGAACAGGATGTTCAAACTTGCATGAGCACTACAGCTCAATGAGTCAGAGCATGTGTACTAATCATTATGCCACAGCTCCAATATTTCCCCTTTTCTATTAAATATTAACATACTCAACAAAAATAAAGACTGGAATGTTATCAACGTGCTATAAGCTGCTGTAAACAGTGTTAGCAGTATTGCTAACGTTAAGCTAATCACTCTGGCTTAGCTAACTTTCTCTGGCTAAAAAAAAACTATACACATCCTTCATCAAACTCTTAATTTTAAGTGTGGTATCGACCAAAAATAGCTTACAACAGCTTTTAAGTACAAAGAGTGAAATGTGATGGATGATTTTTTTTTTACAGCTGGCCAAAGGTTAAAAATTAAATCACAGGTTAACGTCAACATATATTTATGAAGGAGGGGCAAGATTATAGTCCACATTGTCAAACACTATGAGGTGTGTCAAGGATGAGTATTTGTCTTTTGTCATACAGATGATCAAAACACGTCCATTCATGTACTGATGCAGTAGTCATGCCCTATGCAGTACCATTACCTCAAGTAGTGATGTGCAGGGGAGCAGACAAAACTCCTAAAACACATACAGCACACATTGAAATACACAGATATAAACAGACACGCTAAGAGCCCCCACAGTGACAGAAAACAGGTTAGAGGACTAACATATGACAAGAAAATCAGTAAGGAATAAATATGTATAAAAGACAGACAGTGCAAAACGAATGGTGGAAAAATGAAAGAATGTACAAAACAGTGGAGAGAGATGAGATGATGGCAGACTTATCCAGACTCTCTACAACCCTAAACCCTTCAGTACTGCTCAAACTGAAGCATTATAGGAATAGTTCACAAAAAAGTATAATTCTGTCATCACTCACCCTCATGGAGCCATATGACTTTTCTTCTGTGAAACACAAATGTTTAATGTCCTAATCACTCTTTTAAATATAGTTAAAATCACTGAGGACTATAATTTAATTAATAATTTATGCATTTAGCAGACGCTTTTATCCGAAGCGACTTACAGTGCATTCAGGCTATACATTTTTTACCAGTATGTGTGTTCCCTGGAAATCGAACCCATAACCTTTTGCGCTGTTAACGCAATGCTCTACCACTGAGTCACAGGAACACAAGACTAAAGCTAACAAGCCCCGAAATGAACCATAAAAGTACAATAAAAGGATTTCATATGTTTTGTGTGCTATATTCGGAAATCTTCTGAAGCCATACAACAGCTTTATGTGTAATACAGACAGGCTTTTAATTGTTATTGCCCGAAAAACTTTATATTGTGAGTTTATTAGAGTTCATCAGAAAAGTGGTAATGTCTCATTTGTGAATGAATCATTCAGACCGGTTCGTAAACTAGAACAATCAGTTTACTGAAAAGATTTGACTCAAAAGAATGATTCATTCACAGATTGTACTGATCTGGTTCTCAAAACTAACAATGATTTTGCAGTTAACAGTTCCAGAGAAACGTATCATTAAATAATCATAATTTATGAAATAATGAAATACACCTTAGTTTCGGTCTGCTTCTCACACTAAGTTATTGTATGACTTCACATGACCACTTTTATAATGCTTTTTTGTCTTGTAACAGCCCTAGTCCTCATTCACTTTTATTATGTGAAAATGAGAGGATATTCTTCAAAAATTCATTTTCTTTGTTCCATTAAAGAAGGTCAGTCGTACGGGTTTGGAATTATATGACGGTCAGTAAATGATGACAGACTTTTTATTTTTGGGTAAACTGTTCCTTTCCATCACCAAAAACTAATAAAAAAAATCTATCACTAGCTTGAACACAAATGTCTTTTAACCTTTAGCTTCTCAAAAGATTGACAACGAGCCAAGTTCTCTGTTTTTAAATCTATCTATTCTATTTAATTAAGAGTATAGAGTATATACTGGATTCCTGAGTTCACCTGCCTGTATGTGTAATAGAGAATATATATGTGTGTGTGTGTGTCGACACTCTCGCAATGGGCTTGTTGTCTGACAGGAGTGCTGACTCATTAGGCACTAACAGTAGCAGAAGCTCTAGTAGTGATGCTCACTGGGAAACATAAGGCTGATTCTCAGAACACGGCTCAATGCCAGCGGCAGCCAATGAGCCCAACAAACAGTTAATCTAGAGTATCCAGAAACTTGCCTGAGCCGCTAGCTAAAGAAACACAACAAACATAAAGTTAGAAAAAAAAATTAAGTATAAAACCCACTGATGCAGCTGCATTACACTAAAGCAGATTAATACTGATAGTTTAGCTAGTTTACCTCAAGTCTACACTTACACTTTATTCAGCAACACCTTATAATAGCTTTCATTAATAAGCGAGAAACAAGATCAACCATACCAGTAGCTCATGAAGATTTTAATATTAATATAAGCATATATGAGTGTATATTCTCATTAAAATATGAATTGTTTGATTAATTACATTAACAAGAATTATCAAATTACATTATCACCATAACAATTTGAATGAAAATTTAATTTGAAGAATATTTTCAGAGCATTTCCTTTTATCATTATTTCTAATTCATTTTAAGCAATAACTTTGTATATTTTATAAAAGCCATTATAAATGTTACCCTTCACTGATTTTACTCTTTATGGTTTCCCTCTCATGACCTATGCATAATATTTTCATGTATAATATTTAATCTGTTAAACTGCAAGATTCACTGTGAATGACAGGTCAGCAAGATTAGTTTGGTTGTCTGGCATCATGCAAGAGCAGTGTGCTGGGACAGAGGAGGCGAGGAGATTTGAACAGAGAGTAAATGAACTCACGGTGAATGAGAGCTGGAGTTGGAGGAGCTGCATGAAAGAGCACCAGGATTTGGCCTTATAAAACTGCATATGCCAAAAACAAAAACCATGAGAGGGGAAAGAAATAGTTTGGTGGGGCGGAGTCAGAGGCAGAGACTGTAGCTGCCAATCACTCTGACACTAACTCCACCCAACTCAATGGGAAGTACATATCAACAATAGTGTAACTTCAAAACAGAATTTAAAACAAAACAGGTGAGAAGGCATCACAGTATTAGGAAAGACATTCAAATTCCAGGTGCATTCAAATAGATTCAATTAATTAATTAAATTAAATTATATTACACAAAATTAGTCATTATATTATTCTATTAAATTATTTTAATATGACTTTTGAACACTGGAAAAAATGTCCTCATAATGAAAAATTACAAACAAATAAATAAATAAATGTGTTAACTCAATATAAACATTACAAAAATCATTCAGAATTTCTACAAGAGTCTGAGGGGGGAAAATACAAAAGAGTCATTTCCAGGGCCATAACCACATTGAAAGGAACGTTACCCCAAAATTCAGAATTGTGGTTGATCAAATATGGTTGGTTTTAAATTAGGTTTTTAATTCATAATTGTCTTTAATTCATTGAATTGCCACAATAACTGTCTTTAGCTACAGTTAAACAACCAATTTCGGTTAAAATGCAAATAACTGAATCAGATTTTGATGGCATGATTCATTTGATTTATCATTCATTCGCTAAATATATTTTCCATTGTACATTAATTGGTGTCTAACAACAAATCTTATCAAACACAGACTGATTTTTCAGTTGGGCTCAGCAGGAAAACATAAAGAAAATCTGTAGATCTCCACACAGCCTGGCTGAATCAAGTATACATGTCATTTTAGAGTAAAGACAACCAATTATGGGTGCAGGACCAACTGCAAAAAGAACATAAGAATCCTACAGAGACATACTGAGGACCAAATAAAAGTGACAACAGTAAAATAACAAAAAACCAACACCCAGAAATGTGCTTACAGAGACAAACAGAAATATGATTCTTGGGACACATAAAAAAAAACAATGAAGAGGACATGATAGGGTGATGAACAGGTGTTTCAGAGGATTAGTGAAAGGGGAGGGCAGGTTTAATGCCCCCTGACTTACGCTGTGATGGAAATGTTAGCGGCCGACATGGGGCTGACCTCCTTTACCTCCTTGGCTTTCTGCAGAGCCAGTTTCTTACTGATGGCCTCCTCCTGCTCCTCCTCATCCTGACAGAGGAGTAAGACACAGAAACAGAGAATGACAGACACGTATAAATTTGCATTCAATGGCAAGCACCGCTAGCATCAACAAATCAAGATAGTGATGTCCCAAGAGCCTTATGGCCCTATACTGTTGGTATCGTCTTCATGTAAGGCTGTAAATCCCACAAAGGACTGAAAGCTTCATTACCTTGAGTTATTGACCAGGGCAAACATTAGTCAGATCAAAAGAGCCCTTACAGACAGTCTCATGAAACTAATAAAACTGTCAGAGCATGGAGATAGGATCACACATTTGGTATACACAAATGTGAGACTCATGTGTTGTGTGCGCAGGAACTGTACAGATGTGACAGTGACTAGTATTGGCCATGTATGTACATATTTCATTTTTGTACAGCCATGAACTGAAACATTTGCTTTTTGTTTTGTTAGTTTTTTGGTCTTTTTATGCACAGTCACTTTTTTGATAGTGCACTTTGGTATTCTGTTGTCACTTTATATGATAATCTTCAGTGAAATACTACTTTTCAATGGATGGATGACATTTGAATTTGTTTGTTGTGTGAATTTATGTTTTGTCAATCATGATTTGTTAACTGAATCTACGCACCCAAAAAATACTTTTTATGTATAAATTGGCACAGGACTTTTTCATATGTTTTGCCATACATCCTTATCATGTCCAACCAACCTTGGTGAGTTCTTGTGCATTGGCAAGATTATCAACAGCGATGGCCAAAAAGACATTGAGGAGGGTGTCTGATCAAATGTGCTTTAAGGAATTTGCATGAAAGTGGTAATCTAATAAAACTGTCAAGCAAGTCAAGTTGTCAATTTTTTTTATGCAGTCTTTTAACACACACTAAATGTTTGGGGTCAGTAAGATTTGTTGTAAAGAAATTAATGCTTTTTCAGCACAGATTAATTAAATAGATAACATTTATAATGTTATAAAAGATTTCAAATAAATGCTGCTCTGTTCCTCTTTTGAGCACCAAATCATTATTAGAATGATTTCTAATCGATCATGAGATGCAGCACTTTATATTTTTATGATGCATAAATATGCTTTTTTATTCAATCATAATTCAATGGCCATTAGTCAATTAGTCCATTTGAACCACTAATAACAAGTGTTCTTGTCATTGTTATCCAATTTCTTGTCTGGTGTCTTTTGAAACTTAATTTGGAACCGTCAACAAATCAGAATCAAGCATTTAACTATGTCATGGTATAAATATGATCATTTAGGACAATAATCTACAGAGCACCATAGATCTCTTACTTGGTAACCTTGAATATCCTCAGCAAACGTAGTGCTCGCAACACACTAATGCCATAAGAGGCTCCTGGTTTTACTGCTGCCCAAATCACCTCAAAAATGCTACCCACAATCACCTAAACACACCAAAGAGAGAACACAAACACACCAGGCACAATTTAAATTTGAAAGCAACGCTCATTTCCAGCATTTCAGCAATAATTAAAAAAAATTATAATTCTAATCATATAATTTGTCAAAATGTCTTGCAGCTGCTGTCTTTGAGGGGGGTCAGTAGGACATCAGCATTCCTCTGTTTCTTATAAGGCAGAACCCCTGGCATTAGCTGGAAAAGGAACATGTATTGTTGTTGGTCCCGCATATCATTTGTATCTGATGACACTCTTACTCACCCCAAAGTCAAAGCAGTTAAATGAGGAGTGAAAGTAGGTCCTGGGCCCAAGGCCATACATCTTCAGACTCATTTCTATTAGAAACAGACCAAGGAATACAAACTCCGCCAAATCTGTATACACAAAAAAGCATTTATCAATGAACTTTTTAATAACTTTTTAAGTCCTGTCAAGTCATGCCAGTAATGAAAGATGTAATAACCTACTGACAAAATTATCCTCATACTATGTTGCTTCTGTAATAGGTTTCAACATAACATAACAGTTAATAGAGCTCAAGTATAATCATCCATGGTGGTCTAAAGGTGCCAAGTCAGAGTGGTGTGGCCTCATTGGCAAGGCAAGTCAAGGCAAGGCAAGTTTATTTATATAGCACACTTCGTACACAATGGTAATTCAAAGTGATTTACATAAAAGAAAGTAAAATAATCATAAAAAATAATCACAAAAATAAAACAAGGAATTTAAAAACTTTTAAAATAATTTTATCATAGGTAAACAACTGGGCAGGTAACTGAAAAAGATGTCATCACATTGTGCTCTTGAGGAAGACAAATTAAATATTTTGGGGGAGCTGTCCCTGCAATAATTGTGGCCTTCTATAAAAGCATCAGCTCAATGACAATTAATGATTAGTATCAGTTGGCATGCAAGCAGAGGTATATGTAGGAGCTGGGGCAATGCTCCTTTCTCATCTTTTGCACCAATCTGCCACAAGGAACTCTTTACTGTGTGGACTAAAAAATATGTGAGTTACTTTCTTTACATTAACATAGTTGAGGCATGAATTGAACTTTAGAACCAGTGTTGGGGAAAGTTACTTTTAAAAGTAATGCATTACAATATTGCGTTACTCCATAAAAAAGTAACTAATTACGTTACTTAGTTACTTTTTATGGAAAGTAATGCGTTAAGTTACTTTTGCGTTACTTTTTAAATCTGGACAGAGCTTGCTTGTTTGTTTTTAAAATAAAAAAGTTATATTTTTGGCAGATATAAAAGCCTTTTCATGCCAAAAATGAAATTAATAAGCCTTAGGCTGAAGGGAAAGTACATTTACATCCGTACAGTAGAATGCAGAAGAAGACATTTCAACACACTTCAGCAATAAAAAAGACACACAAATGTTTGTCTAGAGTAATTTGTGCTTATTAGTATGGTTGATCTGGATCATCGAAGGTCAGAAGCAAACACAGTGGCTAATAGAACGGGACTAAATACATAAAGGATATTTGTGTTGTTTAACATTTAATTATTGCAGGTTTGCGTCATATTCTGAGTTGCATTATTTGTATTCATTTTGAGGAATACTGAATCTGTGTTTTTTGTGAGTGAGATGAATTAATGCATATTCATATTTATTTTAGAACTACAGTAACATCTTCTGAATTCACAGCATGGCGACACCAGAGCTGTCAATCACTAAATTGGAAAAAAAAGGTAACTTGCGTTACTTATTTGAAAAAGTAACTCAGATATTCTCTTGTAAATTAAAAAGTAATGCGTTACTTTACTAGTTACTTGGAAAAAGTAATCTGATTACGTAACTCGTGTTACTTGTAATGCGTTACTACCCCCAACACTGTTTAGAACGGACTGCTCACCTGACATGGATCAAAAGTCAACACATGGCACAAATTTGGACATTTTCTATATACAGTACCATTCAAAAGTTTAGGATTCGTATTTTTTACATTTATTTTGAAAAGAAACAATGCTGCATTTATTTTATCAAAAACACAGTAAAAGCAGTAGTATTGTAAAATATTATTAAAGTTTATGTAAATATTATTTACAATTACAAAATTAAAATGTCCTTTTTTTCTGGTGATGACAAAGTTGAATTGTCAGCAGCCATTACTCCAGTCTTTAGTGTCACATGATCCTAATATGCTGAAAACCTGATATATTTTTCACGATTGTTTGCTAAAAAGAAAATTACAACCGAAAACAGCATTTATTTAAAACGTTTTTTTGCAACAAAGTCTTTACTGTCACTTTTGATCAATTGAATGCATCCTTGCTTAATTATTTGTAATTAACTTCATTAACTGATCAGTGTATACTGTAATTAATTTAATTACATTTTTAATCTAAAGACTCTTCTTTTTAACTTATGAAACATAGCAGTCAAAACAACAGGGGCAGTTTTATGTACAACTAAAATTCAGATGCTAAAAACTAAAGCTTGACTTTGAGTCAAATCTTGAGATAAGTTGAACAATTAATGATGCAAATACAAGGAGCATAGTATTTAAAAGCACTTGTTTTGCATTGATTTTTGAGGGTTTTTAAATTACTCCCAGTGCACCTAAGCCATGTTCAAATATAGTTCACATAAACCTGTGATCCTCCAGAGAGCTGTAGTGATGCTTTAAAGATGCGGTTCACTTACACAGTGCATATGTGAGCCAGTTGGGCTGGTCGTAGTGAACTATAGCCACACACAGTGTGTTCAGTCCCACTATACACAGAACAGTCCAGTAGAAGCTCTGGGCCTTCACCATACGGCGGATGAAGAAGCGAAACCTCTTCGCTTTTCTGCGAAAGTATGATGAGCTCTCGTTCTTGCTGCTCTTCAGGCTTGTACGGGTGAATGGAGAGCCCTGGGGAGCTGCGGAGAGAGAGACTGTTTCAGATGTTCACAACAGCTCACAGATGATGGAGGCGAGAAGAGAGGAGAGGGATTCAACACATATTCTGATTTGTTAACGTCTTCTTTATCCATCTTTCCACTCTCTCTCTCAATCTCCTTCTATTTTGGTAACGATTCTCCGTTTATGTTACATGTAAAAAAAAAAAAAAAAAACATCCCCAAAACCATCACAGATGTAAGCTTTATAACACTTTTTTAAATCAGATTTTTTATTTTCTATGCTGATTTTGGAGAAAATCTACCATGAGTTCAAAGGTCACAGGCATTAGGCCTGGATCTTACCGACTGATGAGATGTCAGTGAAGTGGTCTTCTCCTTCCTCTGCATTGATGAGGTCATTTTTGCTCTTCTTGGCTCTCTTCAATACTAAACATGTTGAAAAGCGAATAGTAATTAAACAGTAGTAGTATTAAATATAATAACAAATTCATTAAGAGTATAGTAAAAATAATTGAAAAATGAAAAATTGTTATTACCGTAATTATTATTATTAGTAGTAAGTAAGACTCAATCTCTCTAATGCTCTAATAATGAACAAATATAATACTTTATTTCTCAATGGTTACCTGGGTTGTTGCATTTCCTCTTGTACCAGGCACCATCCTCCTTCTCCTCTGCATTTTTATCTTCTTCAGCAAGCATTACTTCCTCTGAAACAAAGATATGTCACTACTTACACTATGTATGTCTTGCATCTGAAGCCATGATGTTTTTATTTTGAATTAAGCATCTAAATGAATACATGACAGTCTGAAATTGTTTTGCTGTTTTGAGGTTGTTTGCCGGGGTATTGCCACAGTATGGTTGCTAAGCTATTCTAAGTGGTTGTTCTATGCAGTTGCTAGGGTGTTCTTGGTAGTTGCACAGGTGGAGAGACAGACAAAAGCAACCACTATAAGGCTTATTGTAACCTGATGCCACACACAGTAATCAGTGCTGTCACTGAAGATCTGACAAACATCCAGCAGGAGGCAGGGACAGCAGTGAGCACTGTATCACCCAACACATTAACGTTTTCAACAATGTGATTAATATCTGATTGACTATAACGGCTGTAGCAAGATACAGGAAGAAGTCAAAGCACCTGTAAGCAGTTAATTCCATCACGGTTTTATGGTGTTAATACATCAAAGCCGGGCCACCATAGAGGAGTTCGGGAAATCACCTCTCTAAGCCAAATAAATCCCCATGGAAGAGCCTTAGTGGGCTTCTGGGAAATAAAACGGAGGATACTACATGCTGTGACAGAGCTAATTAACCCCTGCGCTGATGGAGGATCATTAGTTTTACAAGAAACTGTGCCACCTTAAGAGAAACTACAGTATTAGGATGAGAGGTAGAATTATAAAGAACCAACAACATCAACATTTAAAGCCAAAACATTCCTTTAGGAAAACAATTTTATCCATTTTTTTCTGATTTCTTCTTGTTATGATGATTTTTTGTAACATGCTAAGGTTTCATATTTCCTATGTCCATCTACATGGAAAATCAAGGGATTTCTGGCTTTGTCCATTGGGTATTTCCATTAATAATAGCCATTAATTGTAAAATGGTTATTGGAAGTGTGCCACTGAGAATTATTAAATTACATCCTTATGAAATCTAATATACTGTACATGAGGACAAACATCACATTTACATCCGAATGGTTATTAATCTACATGAAACTGTAAATTACCCAAACCCTAAGTTTAGCTTAAAAATTAGGTTTAATCATCTGGATTCAGTCAGATTTACTGAATGGAAACTATTTTTGTGCCTGGCACTGCATGTGGAAAATCATCAAGTTTGACAGTTCAAACTATGGGTGGGAAATTTGTTCCATTATTTTATATTGCATCATAAAAGTCCATATTTCAAAATATTGTGTTCATAATAACTATGTTCAAATTCTTGGGTTCAGTGGAATTTTTATTTTAAAGAAATTATTACTTTTATTCAGCAAGGATGCATTCATTTGATCAAAAGAGAGAGTAAAGACATTTATAATGTTAAAAAATAAAATAAAATGTTTCAAATAAATGCTGTTCTCATGTACTTCTATTCATCAAAGAACCCTGAAAAAAAGTTTCCACAAAAATATTAAGCAGAATAACTGTTTTCAACACTAATAATAAGAAATATTTCTTGAACGTCAAATCAACATATTAGAATGATTTCTAAATGATCATGTGACACTGAAGACTGGCTGCTGAAAATTCAGCCTTGCTATCACAGGGATTAATTTAAAATATATTAAAATAGAAAACAGTTATTTTAAATTGCAATAATATTTCACAATATTGCTGTCTTTACAGTACTTTTGATCTAATAAATGCAGCCTGGGTGAGCATAAGAGACTTCTTTCAAAAACATTAAAAAACCTAACCAACCAGAAACTTTTAAAAGCCGTAGTGTACATTTATAGCACATATGTTTTTTCTGTTGATTTCTGCAAGTGAGACCCTTTTTTTTAAAAAGTTCTGTTCAATTTTTGGAGTTTCTGAAATTTTGGTGCAGTTTCAAGGACGCAGCATCATGCTGTTACAGTACAAATACTGCAATCTAATTATATTGGCACTAATATTAATACATGCAGAATGTGTCAAACTGGTGAAAATCCTGAGAAAAACTTGAGAAGACTATTACTAAACTGATCAGTGCAAATCCACAGCCACAGAAAGCTCCAACACATTGAGTCCCTGGCTGATGAAAGAGCTGTTACAGGCAGTCATGGGAAGACTGAGGGTATGAACCAGCTGGTGGAGAGAGTGGAAGGCTATGTGGTTGCCATGGAGAGAGGAAGTGCTGAGCAACAGACAGGCACAGATGCATCAGCTCCCATCGCGGCCGAGGAGAGATCCGGGAAGCGAGTGAGATATGGTCATGGGAGAAAAAACACAAGGGGACAGAACACTCTGTAGGGAACAGACGAAGGCCTTCTGGTGGTTGCAATGTAGATAATTCTCAGGTTCAAGTCTTGAAAAACCCATGAATGTCTCTGAATTTGAAAATGGGTACTGTGGAGATATTACATATCAAGTGTTAATAGAGATATTGTTCATTTGAGAGACTGACCTGCCTTGCAGATCCACTCCAGGTAGCCGGTCAGCTCCCTCTCGATCTGCTGTTGTCTGCGAAGCTTCAGGAACTCCTGCCTTTTCTCCACACGCTCTCGCTCCTTTGCAAACTCCCTGTTTGGACAAAAGCACATAAATTCACATCCATAAACCCACTGTACTGCACAGAGGCATCAGGGGAGCCCTGCTCAATGGCACAGGTCATGTGTATAAGAGCATGCATGTATCTCATAATACAGTGATGCACCCACAAAAGCAAATACACCCATTGATAACACCATAAGGTACATCTTTGAAAAACAAAAGTGAACGAGATAAATGTACCAAAATGAAACGTTAGAGAAAAAAGCAAGTACAAGGTGTGGCATCCACATTTGCAAGAGCTGTAGAAAAATCAATGTTTTAGAATCAATAGAAAACAACAGCTAAATGTCTACAGTTTATGCCTCACTTTAAAGCTGAAGTGTGCAATTTCTTCTTAATTGTTAAAATTCCTTCTCCTATCCCAACTTAATATATAGAGTCAGATAGTTAAGCCAATCTTATATTCATTTTATATTAATTGTCAAATATAATTGCAGCGTGATGCATTTAGTAGACTAACTATTGAAGTCTATAAATCTAAATCTATAGGTTTGTAGACTTCAGTAGATCTGCTTAAAAAGACCCATTAATCCTTGTTTTCAGCATCATTAACAGCATATAGTATGAAACTCGAAAAGATGCAAAGCAATAAAACAATTTCAATATATACGGCACAAATTGTAGAAATAATATGACAATATTATATATTATTATATATACTATACAATAATAATATACAGTACTGCTCAAAAATTTTTGAGTGTTTTCTTTTTTAATATATTTAAATATATTTTAACAATGTAGAAGTCTTTACTATCACTTTCGATCAATTTATTGCACCTTTGATGAATGAAAGTATGAATTTCTTACACCAAAAAAATCTTACAGACCCCAAACTTTTGAGCAGTAAATATATATAAAATTATATAATTATTATACACAATATAATAATAAGGCATCATCATCATCAGTTAAAACTATGTGATTTTTTTTAAACCTGTTGAAAACATATATTATTTCTGCAATTCTAATTGATGATAGTAATGGTGCACTTTAGCTTTAAGCACACAAAATAGCTGAAATGACTAATGTAAAATGGTTGATTAACTTCCTCAAGAGACGTTACAGCCTCACAAGGAAACAGAGGTCAATCCTTTATTCTCAGTAATGCGCCTACAGGGCGAGACAGTTTCTCTCATCTAATCTCTCTAACTTTCACCCCACAGTATGACAAAACTGTGTAGTAATACCTTGATTAGATATTAAGCTCATAGGTCAAAAAAGTGGTATTTACTTACAAATGGCCATGCAATGCCTGTGAGAGGCATATTTTACCCTGACTTGGTTATTAAATGAGTCCCATTAATTTTCATCAGTATTACAGCTTTCTCTGCAACATGATTATGTAGGAACACTAAGGGGAAAAAACGTACTGTTTGTGCCCCCTCACAACCTGCCATCTGTTATCACACCAATTAGAGGACAGCATGATGATTGACCACCATTACTCTTTAACAGGTGCACAGAGTGTACAGAAAGGAGGTGAAAAAAGAGCTATAAATGCAAAGAACAAAGAAAAGAAGAAAATAAAAGTAGGGTGGACAGAATGTGAGGGATGTGATGCTCCTGGAATGAAAATGTTACTTCATGCTCGAGAATGTGATCGGAGCAGGAAGGGAATGTGAATAGAAAAAAACTAAAGGAGAAAAAAGACAGAGACAAGACAGAAAAGAGAGTAAATATTGTATAAGTAAATAGCATTTTCTTGTAAAATGTAGTCCAATAATCTTTGTATTATTTACAACTATGTACAATTTGTGGTAAAAGGAATCTAAAACTCTGGAACACAAAAGTCCATTTTAGTCCATAAAATAAAAGTCAATGGGATCCAAAAGCAACATCCCATTGGACCCATTGACTCTTATTGTATGGACAAAAAAAATATCTTTTTTTTTTATATCTTGTTTTTTGTTTCACAGAAGAAAGAAAATCATACAGATTTGGGACAACATTAAGTGGATGAGTAAATGATGGCACAATGTTCATTTTTTGGTGAACTATCCATTTAAAGGGTTAGTTCACCCAAAAATGAAAATTAGGCTGTGTTTTTCTCACCCCAGAGCTATCCTAGGTGTATTTTTTCTTAAGGTGGGCCTTTAGCCCCGTTGTACCCTATATATATATATCATTATTGTGATGCGGGGGCCCTGCAGTAAGTCATAGCCCCGGGGCCCAGTGCGGTCTTAATGCGGTCTCATACGTCATCCGCCCAGAACTGCTTCCATTTACAACAGTGAGTACAAGCTAGATTAAAGTGATTATTACGTTTTGAATATGGATATTTTTCTTACAAAAACGCATCGATTTGCTACAGGAGGCCTTTGTTCACCCCCCGGAGCCGTGTGAGACACTTCTTTTTTTATGGATGGGCGCTTTTTATTTAACTTCTTTTGGACTGATGCACTGCAACACTCACTGACTGCAATGATAGAGCTTGGAATAATCAGGACAATTTTTTATATAACTCTGAATGGATTCGTCTGAAAGAAGAAAGTCATATACACCTAGGATGCCTCGGGGGTGAGTAAAACCCAGCCTAATTTTCATTTTTGGGTGAACTAACCCTTTAAGAACATGATGCTTCACTAGCATCCAGAACACAACATACTGAAGCGGTTCTTCAGCTTGATTTCCATTAAACAATATGGGGAAAATCCTCTTTTTCCCTCCCTGCATTGCAGTGGCAGTGTGACAGTGACAGTGAGTGTGTGTATATTTGTTTGTGAGTGTGTGACAGATGAGGAGGAATACTAACTTTGTGGCACCCTCTCTTTCTCTCTCGCTCTCTCTCTCTAACACAAATTGTGACAGTTTTTCATTTTTGGGTGAACCATCCCTTTATAAACTGTTAAAGTCCCCCTGCTGTCACTAATTTTATCCAAAAACTCATCTTTGATCATCAAAACGACATATTTAAAGTTTTTTCTTGTCGAAATATTTTCTCCATGTCTTAAAATAGCTTGAATATAACTCTACACCCATACCTCCTTTAGTATGCACAGAAACATGAAGATGCAAATGAAAATGCAAATCACAGCATCTCAGACTTCCTGCCCCACTTTCACTCAGTCAACTGAAGTAGTAAATGCTACACAATGGCAAGTGGCAATCAGAGCATGTGAGCGAAGCGGAGCGGTGTGACGCTCCGCTACGTTTTCCGCTCTATGGACGTGCGCTCCACTCATTCGCTCTAACCGCCCAAGCAAACGCTCCGTTAATATTCCGCTCACGCTCATCAGAAAGGCGCTCTGCGCTCTTAAGGAAATATTACCACTCCGCTCACGCTCTGCTCCGCTCACATGCTCTGGTGGCAATACAGGAATAATCCAGCCATAAATGTTTGAACCAGAGACTGAACCAAAGAAGGAGAGGAAATTAAAAAAGAGAGAAAGAGGGAATTATACAGAGTCATCTACAAGTCAATGTTTCAAAATGGTAAAGCGTTTATGTATCGCTCTCTACAACATCGGACATGTAACAGTAATTGATTAGCCTTTGGCTTGTCTACATGATCAAACAACTAATAATGTGTTGCTAATGTTACACAAACCATGTTCCCATTTGTCATCTCAGACAGCAAATTTATAAAAATCAACATCCTTAGGTAGAAATGTGACACGGGCTGTTTCAAACCGACTGAGACTGTCTTTGGTTTTAAGTTTTAAGGGAAAATTATCAGCAATGGTGTTGACTGAAGAATTTGCACATGGTTTGTCTTTAAGCATATTAAAAACACCAGATAGACATGTGAACATTAAAAACTTGATTTTCACTGCAGGGGGTCTTTAAATATAATCTTTGTCCATTTTTCATGCTGTTCAGTACAATACTTTGATGCCTAAATTGAAATAGGTTAGTTTTAATTTATTCAGACAAAAATAATTTTAAGATCAACAATTTCTACGTTCACACTGCAGGCAAATGTGGCCCAAATCTGATTTATTTTGCTCACATGTGACTCAGATCTGTTTCTGTCATGACAGTGTGAACAGCACAAACCGCATGGAATCTGATCTTTTCAATTCTGATTTGTGCCACTTCCATATGTGGTACTAAATCTGATCCATGTCAGATGGTTTGCAATGCAACCGCAGTGTGAACGGTCATGTCGAATTTCATGCGGCTTTTACGTCACTCTAGATCAGTGATGGGCAAACTTGGCCCTTCCAGGCCACTTTCCAGCAGAGAATTGATCCAACCCTGATAAAACTCATCTGCCTGTAGCCTTCTAGTAGTCTTGAAGACAATGATTAGCTGGTTCAGGTGTGTTTGATTAGGGTTGGAGCTAACCTCTGAAGGAAAGTGGCCTGGAAGTGCCAAGTTTGCCCACTCTTGCTCTAGATCGACAATCGTCATAATTCCGTGCTGACGGGAGACACTTCAAAGATTTTACATACCTAAAGTTATCAAGACAGTTGCGAAAGGTAATCAGTGGAAGTGTAATGTGTCAGAACTACAAGAATTACGAATTACAGTGACAACTCTACAAGCAAAACATGAGGGCTCATATCATAAAAGTTTCAAAACTCTGCTTTCTTTTGTCACATCCTTGTCTTTATTTTTTCATATTGCCTGTGCATAATTTTACTTCTCTGTGCAGATCACACTATAAATAAAAGCATAATTGCTTACTTTTACTTCCGTATGACTCCGTATGATCTGCTGCACAAGTGTTGCCAAATCCAGTTTCCCAGCGGAATTGGGCTACTTTTTCCTCTGTTGCCGCGGGATGTTTTTCAACTTCGTGGGTTGACGCGACCCCACTAACGCAATGTTTACCTCCCTGAACATGATTGCGCTAGTTTTGGACTAGTTTTGAGAAAGAATTGGGAGGATTTTGTTGTGAAAATCTGGAAACCCTGTTTGTATCCTGCACATGCGGGTCAGTTCAGAACCATGATCTGTTCACAATGGAAATCTGATATTGGCCACATTTAAAACAACAATGTGAACAGCTATACAAAAAAATC